TCTGAAAATTAACAAAATCTTTTGAAATTCAAATTATTTCTAAAAATTGCAACTTTAACTCTTTTCCAAAAAGATTTACTATTATTTAAAAAAAATTTTTAATTAAAAATCTGTAAAACTTGATTAAGTATTGCCTGAAATTTTTTTTGACCATCAAAACTAAAAATTATGACAAAATTAAAAATTCCAATAAATTGCTTAAATCAGACTTGAAAAAATTATAAAAATGGAATTTTAAGAATTTTTTTTAAAAATTTGTCCTACTTAAATAAAATTTTGAAAATTTGTGTTACAATTAGTTCGATTCTAAAATATTTGAAATAAATTTGTTTGATAATATTTATTATAGAATTATTCTCATTATGGAATTAATAAAATGAATTTAATATCTAATAACATTAGTTATTTGAAGTAAAATGTTTATTAACCAATTAAATTTTGTTAAAATAAAAAAAATCGACTTTTTTTACTTCTTTTCGAATATAAATCGACTAAAATGACTTTTTTGTGCTTCTTTGAATCATTTAAAATTCCTATTGGATAAAAATTAAAAATTTCAGTATAAAAAATGAAAAAAAGAAATATATTAAAATTATTTACTAATCTGAGAAATTTTTTAAAAATGATTCGAACTTTCAAAAATAAAAATTGGTTTAAATTTTTACTAAAATACATTTTTTAATAATATGTAATTTATAAAGTCGCTTTTTGAATGAAAAATAAGAAAATAGTTAAACCAAATTTTGATTTGACTGTCTATTCCATTTCTCTTTAAATTCGATCAATTTTTAAAAAAAAATCTTCTCTCATATTCCTACAATTTTGAATAACTGACATCGAATTCATATTCAACGATTCCAAAACCCCCTGAGTATAACGAGTTGCAAATAAATCTGATAAATTTACTAAAGGCTAGTTCCTGAATTATTTTTTTTTTTTTTAATAAATAATAAAGTAACAATATTTTTTCCTCGTATATATTTATTTTAAATATTCAAATAAATAAAAAAAAATAATATAAAATAATTTATAAAAAGCCTTTTTTCAAAATGCTAGTCAAATATAATTGTTAATATTATAATTCTCACAGAGATCATTTTCACCTCTACATTATTATTATTATTATTATTATTATTATTATTATTATTATTATTATTATTATTATTATTATTATTATTATTATTATTATAAAAAACAATGTAACGTATTTTTCTCTGGTTGAATTCTAGTTTTATTTTTATAAAATGATAAAAATAAATCAGGTAATTTAATTAAAAATAAATTGGAAAAAAATATTGTTCATTGACCCTTGAAAGTACTTTTATAATATAGTCAATATCTCGGTGATTGTTTTTTATGAAAAATTAAAAATAAATGTAAGTGAAACTCTATCTGTGAATTTTTATTTAATCAATTTTTTTTTTTTATTTGACAGAATTTATAATTTTTACAATTATTTATCAAAAAAAAAAAAAAAAAAAAAAAAAAAAAAATGCAGAATAGAAAACTTAAAAATAAATTGGAAAAAGAAAAAACTAGTAGACATAAATTTTCTAAACAAAAAGAAAAAAAAATTCAATTTCCATTCTCATATTTCTGATTTTAAAAAATAATTTCTTATCAAAAATTATATAAATATTATTGATTTTAAATATTCAAATATGTTTAATTCAGAAATGTATAATTTTTACAAAATTTTCTTTTTAAATAAATTTAATAATTTACTGAAATTTAAATGAAACTCAGAACTTTTGTTTCAAAAGTAAATGAAATGTTAATTAAATGAAATTGAATTATAAAAAAAAATGTATAATTACTCCAAATTTCTCATAATCCAATTAATATTTCAATATTGAATATTTATTCAACGAAAGTATATTTAACGAAAGCATTTAATTGAGTAAATTTATTATTTTTTCACAATTTGATAGACAATTTTACAAAACGTTTCTCTGCCATCTATATACAATATATATTGAAATTAAATGTGAGCAATACAAAATTAACAAGAAGCATTTGTGTGGAAAATTAATAAGCGAACTATTGAAATAATACTAGTTATTTAATAACATACTGATATCATTTCTGATATTTCAAACGAATATATAGCAATTGAATTGTCATTATTATTATTATTAATATTATTATTATTTTATGGAGATAAATTTTGCATAATTCATTATAATAATATATATTATAGAGTGTGTATTAGTGAAATATTGTCGAGAGATTAGTTTTGAATAATAAATAATAATTGGATTAACAATAATAATATATAAATATTAATAAAGTGATATATAATAATGATGGTGAGGAAAGGATTGCAGATTGCCTATGATATATATATATATATATATATATTCTATAAAGCAGATTGGTTTCGCATAACTCAAAGCGATCGATAAAGAATCGTAATATAACGAGAACCGAACAAACACACCACACCCCCCTGAGTTCTATTCGTATCACCACCTCTGAAGTCTTTAATTAGAGGTAAGTTTCCACAAGGACGTGAAATCGAATGCAATGTACGAAGTGCAGAGTAATTGAGCGATTTCAATAAAAGCTCAAGCTTGATCGTAATTAGTTTGATGAAGGAACACAGTGTATCATGAGAGTTTATATATAACTTTTTTTTTTTTCATTTTGAATTATGATTCTATTATAATATTTACATAACAGGTCATCATCCTTTCTCATAGATACATATTTTTTATTTTCATGTATTTATTAATAATATAATAAGCTTCTCTGTTGAAAGAAAAAGTAAAAAGATAAATTTTCCATCCGCAATACATATATTGGATCTATCAAATATTTTATTTCTCCTTTTTATGAATATCAATATATCCAATTAATTTAATTAAATTTTTAGCTCAGGACTCGGATCAACTTTAAGGCACAAAAAAGTCGTTTTATTCGATTTATATTAAAAAAAAGTCGAATTTTTTTATTTTAACAAAATTTAATTGGTTAATGAATATTTTACTTTAAATAACTAACGTTATTAGATATTAAATTCATTTTATTAATTCCGTAATGAGAATAATTCTATAATAAATATTATCAAGAAAATTTATTTCAAATATTTTAGAATCGAACTAATTGTTAGACAAATTTTCAAAATTTTATTTAAGTAGGGGATTTTGGAATCGTTGAATATGAATTCGATGTCAGTTATTCAAAATTGTAGGAATATGAAAGAAGATTTTTTTTTTAAAATTGATCGAATTTAAAGAGAAATGGAATAGACAGTCAAATCAAAATTTGGTTTAACTATTTTCTTATTTTTCAATCAAAAAGCGACTTTATAAATTGCATATTATTAAAAAATGTATTTTAGTAAAAATTTGAACAATTTTTATTTTTGAAAGTTCGAATCATTTTTAAAAAATTTCTCTGATTAGTAAATAATTTTAATATATTTTTTTTTTTATCATTTTTTATACTGAAATTTTTAATTTTTATCCAATAGGAATTTTAAATGATTCAAAGAAGCACAAAAAAGACATTTTAGTCGATTTATATTCGAAAAGAAGTAAAAAAAGTCGATTTTTTTTATTTTAACAAAATTTAATTGGTTAATAAACATTTTACTTTAAATAACTAATGTTATTAGACATTAAATTCATTTTATTAATTCCGTAATGAGAATAATTCTATAATAAATATTATCAAGAAAATTTATTTCAAATATTTTAGAATCGAACTAATTGTATGATAAATTTTTAAAATTTTATTTAAGTAGGACAAATTTCTAAAAAAAATTCTTAAAATTCCATTTTTATAATTTTTTCAAGTCTGATTTAAGCAATTTATTGGAATTTTTAATTTTGTCATAATTTTTAGTTTTGATGGTCAAAAAAAATTTCAGGCAATACTTAATCAAGTTTTACAGATTTGTAATTAAAAATTTTTTTTAAATAGTAAATCTTTTTGGAAAAGAGTTAAAGTTGCAATTTTTAGAAATAATTTGAATTTCAAAAGATTTTGTTAATTTTCAGACAATAATTAAATTTTACAGAATTAACAATAATTTATCAAATAATTTTATATAACATTTTTTAAAAGTAATTGAATTTTCAAAGGTTTAGAATTTAGATTTTTGAAATTAATTTGAAATTCAAGTGGTTTTTAATTTAAAATTTTTGATGATTTCACTAAAAAATTTATTAGAAATTGCAGACAAAAATAGAATTTGATAATTTTAAAGAGTGAAAAATGGTTTCAGATAAATGAATTTTCGAAGAATTTTGTAAAAATCATTAAAAATAATTGAATTTATTAAATTTCAAAAAAATTTTAGATAGAAATTTTTAAAAATAATTAAATTTTAGAAGCTTTTAAATTGAAATGTTTGAAAATAATTGAATTTAATTCTATTACATTTCAAACAATAATTATAATAAGAGAAATTTTTTGTGATTTCTGTTGATGAAGAATTTATTAGAAATCACTTAAAAAAATTGAATTCCAAAAGTTTTTAATTTGAAAAATGCTTTCAGATAATTGAATTTTCGAAGAATATTATAAAAATCATTAAAAAATAATTGAAATTTTTGCATATAATTAAATTTTAAGTGATTTTAAATTAAAAATTGTTGGTAATTTTATTTGCTAATTTTTTTTTTTTAAATTATAAACAATTATTAAATTTCATAAAAAATTGAATTAAAATATAGTTTTAAGATAATTGAATTTTTAAGAATTTCATTAAAATTATTAAAAATAATTAATTTAGTGAAGAATTTTAGTTAAAAATTTGTTAAATAATTGAAATAAAAAAGATCTGTAGAAGATCTGCATTGTATACTAAAAAAAACGTATTTTGTTTAAAAATTTTGTAAAAAAAAAAAAAATGTAAAAAAAAATCGAAAAAATCGCATTTTATTAAAATAAATCGAAAAAAAATCGGAAAAAGTCGTCTACTATACAAGGTCTGTAATATTATTATAATCTTGATAAAAATAAAATATTTTTTTTTTTTTTTTAAATCTTACCTGCGTTTCGATGTCAGAAACTTCTTGACGATAAATAAGAATATCGTGAAGTGTATTGGCAGTCTGAACAATGAGTGCCAAAATTGGAATAAATGGAAGAACGAGCATTTGAAGAAGTTGAATTCGTTGGCCACGACGATGGGCTGGATCTGTTGCTCTCGCCCAACATGATTTTTTCTTCTTTCCCTTAGTTGGCGATACATCATCTGACGAAAGACTTCTCACGGAACTTACTTCAGTTATATAATTTCCATTTCGCTGGCTCATTTTACAAATCACAAAGAAATCTTCTTCTCTAACACAATAAATAAAAAAAAACAGAACTTTTATTATTAAAAAAAAAAAAAATATAAAAGAACAATGGAGAAATAAAATATATATTTAATTAAAATAAAGTTTTTAAGGGAAAAAAGAAATTGAAAAGGAAAACAAAAATGAAATTACAAAAAAAAAAACCTTTTTTTTAAATGAAGAAATTTTTAAAAATTTTATTTTACTGAGATTCTATTATTATTATTATTATTATTATTATTATTATTATATATATTCTATAGTGTATGTCAACAAAGGTTTGAAATATTGCGTCCTCTCGGTAACAATTCAAGGGAAATAAACGTGTTTGGAGAAAACTTTTCCACAAACGAATGAAAATACAATATCGTTAGGGTATACTGAATATTGAACTTCGATATGATCACTTTTTGTATACCTTGTAAAATTGAAAGGGCGTTATTGCGAATCACATTCCTCCCTTTAATTAATATTTCTACGAGAGAGTGGGAGACACGCAAATGTCACTTTTCCCATCGGCGGACTCAATCGCGTCTCGGTTCCAAGAACTATAATTTTTTCTTGTCGTCAATTTTCGATTCAAGACACAAGATGGTATAATAAGATTTATATTTATATAGTCGCCCGTCTTCCAATGAAGTTTGAAAATTACCTTCAAACTGTCAACTGACATATTTAAATTAAAAAACAAAAAAAAAAGAAAAATCAAATATTTTCCAATAGAAATAACTTTTTCCATTTAAAATATGAATTGAGCCTGACAATGTTAAGTTTATTTCATCTCGATTACTTTGACCTGATTTTCAATTTTATTGATATTTGAAAATAAATTGCCATTGATTGCACATTTATTAGATTTAAGAATTCAAAGAAGAAAAAAAATCATAATTCAAATTATATTTTCATTTTTTTTTTTAATTGATAATAATTCATTCATTAGATAATTTTAAATAATTAAAAAAAATCGTCAATGAAACATTAAAAAAAAATTGTTAGTGAAGTTCAATATTTTATTTTGGAAAATTTTTACTTTTATTTCAAAAAAATATTAATAAATTAATTATTTTTTAATTTTTCATATTATAATATAATTTTAAATACTTAATATTGTCAGGAAAAAAAAATTGACAACCTTAAACAAAATTAATTTCGATAAATTGAAATTTTATCGGTTCCTCCTTTAAAAAATTATTGAAATGTTTGGATTAAAATTTCAATTTTAATCAAATTTTCCTTGAATATGAGAAAAATTTTAAATAACTTTGTTTATAATTTTTCAGCTAAAGCAATCCTGCATACATAAATAAATAAAATTAATATATAATATATTGCATAATTATTTTAGTTCAGACTCAATTTAAATTCTTCCATTAGATAAAATATTTTCGAATAATATTACCAATATTATTATTATTATTATTATTATTATTATTAATACGATTATTATTAATTTTTTCATATCAAAATATTCATAAATGTAAAAAATTGTCACTTATTGATAATCGAAATCAGTAAAAAAGAAAAAAAAATTAGCTAATTGGAAAAATATTTTTTTAAACTTAAAACGAAATTTTTTTCTTTTCCACATTTCATCGAATCGGATTATATTAACGAACGAATGTGTCAGTATCAAAGGATTCAATTATTTAAATATCATACATTTTATATTTATAAAGAATGACATTTTTTTTGTCAAATGATGTACAAGTTTTTCTTTTTCTTTTTTTTTTTTTTATATAAATAAATACATATGATTATTCTCTCTTTTTTTTAAGAGTAAAGTTCACTGCAGCGAAAATACGTGGGTTAATATGTTTTCTAAGCTGTCGAGGTAAATTAGTTTTGCTGCCTTTTGTCACATGCTTCATGAAGCAGACAATTAAAATAATGTAAATGTAAAGCAGAGCAGAAAAACACACGCGCGCTAAAATTAATTGATTATAAAAAAAAAGAAGAAAAAAAGAAAAAAAAAAAAGAAAGAAATCGCTTGACATGAAACGATGAGTTTTTAATTATTATACCATTTCACCCTGTTAACTATGAGCCCAGACAAAAATGTGAATTTCCTTTGATGTTAACGAACCTCTATGTTCTTCGTGGAATTTTTACTGGAATGAAATAATGGATTTAATTCTAGTTGTTCTTTTTAGAAAAAAACCTTTTTTTTCCTTTATAAAAAAAAAAAAATTATTATAATTCGAGTGTTAAAGACAGTTTTTTTTCCACTTTTGTAATTATATAAATTATTGAATTTTTTCTGAAATTCATATAAATTATCTAATAAATAAATATTTAAAAATTAATTTATTAATTATTTAATAAATAAATATTTATTTAAATATTAATTTCATAATTTTTTATTCACCTTTTTTTTCATAATTCAAAGAGAGTATAAGAAAATTTGAATTTTTTTTTTTTACAAAAGTCTTTTGCATTCTTTGACTTCTTTTTTTTTTTTTTTTTTTTATCGAGAATCTATATAATAGTAAATGGATCCACGCAAGATTCTCTTTCATCTCTTGAATTCGATTTGTCCTTGAAAATAACATACATATCTAATTCTATAATCGGAACACTGTGAGTGCAATAGAATCGGTTGCTCTCTTTTTATTGCAAAAAAAACACCCCTATTGAAATATAGAAATTTCTATATAAAAAATATTCTCTTGTAAACATGTTTTTAATAGTAAAAATTATTTTCGATAAAATCCCTTTTGAAAATGTTTTTTTTTTAAAGCCCTCTCTTTTTTTATAATTATTTTATTTAAAACAGGTTTTTCTTTTCATTCTAAAGGTTTTTCACATTTTGTGTGTGTGTTCTATTTTATAAATATTTTATATATAAGTCATCACTTTAATCCTTCGGCTTATTATACACGCACACATACATATGTATAAAATGTCGCTGATGTTCCACGATATTTTTTTTTTCATCTCTCTTCTCACATTATTCAAAAAAAAAAAATAATAATAATAATATAAAAATGTCAAACACGTGGAATGAGAAAAACTGAAATTATGTTGCTTTTTTGTGATTTTCTATTTAAATAAAAAAAAAAAAATATGTGGTTAAAAATTTAAGGTTTTTAAAAAAACGCCTTTCATTAAAATGAAATAAAATTGCAAAACAAAAAATAAAATTTAATTTAATCTGAAATAAAATTTAAAAATAGAATTTAAAAAAGTTTTTAATAAAATATTCTTTTATAAAAAGTGAAATTAATAAAAAAAAAATTCTAAAACAGCGTTTATTGAAATAAATTTAAATTATTTTTTTTTTTAAATTAATAAAACGCTTTTCAAAAAAAGAGTATAATTAAAAATATTAAAAAATAAAATAAATTATATTCCAGACAAAAATAATTAAATATTTTTCTTTAATTTAAAAAAAAAAAAAAACACCTAATATTATTTCAATAAAATGAAAAATTAATAATTTTTGCAAAAATTAAAATTTATCAATCACTTATTTCAAAGAGTTTACGAACAAAAAGGAAAATCTTCAACTATTTCAATAAGTTTCTTTCCAAGTATCTATACTATATATATATGTTAAAAGTAAGCAACAGGCGTCATTTGTTCGCACGCGCCAATTTTAAAAGTTACTTTTTCCAATATTCCTCATCAGCATATTTACATTTAATTATTCTTCGATTATTTTTATAATTTTCATTTTAAAAAATTGTTTAAATAAAAAAGAAATTAAGTAAAAAATAATTAAATTAAAAGCAAAAAATAATAAATTCGTTTTCGGTAAAAAAAAAAAAAGATTTGTAGTTTTATGTAAAACGCGTTATTACGTGATTTCAATGAGGGCAGTCGATGTCAAGATAGCGAAAATCGACTATATTATATACTTTGTTTAAAGTGAACAGGTGTGTTTTTCATGAGTAACGCGCGATCGTCGACTGAAAATATACGGAGCAAGGTGATCTGAGAATGGTGATGATGCGAGAGAATTTCTGTCTACCGCGCAACCACACCGGTATCAACAAAACCACCCCTTTGCCTTGGTTGCCTATATGAACTCGTTCTGGTTCGCTGATGGTCGATTCTTGTTTACCTAACAAAGTTTACTTTTTACAAAAGAATACAAACCATCAGGCTTTTCTTTTTATTTTCCACATTCTATTATATGTATACACAATTTTCTATTTTCTATTTCTTTAAAAATCTCCTTTTTTTTATTGTAAATTGCTCATAAAATTCTAAAACAAATTTTGTCTTTTGTTTAGCTGAAAAAAAAGAATTTCATTAGAGGTAAATTTTTAACTTAAATCCTTTTATTTTGACGCGGAATAAAAGAAAACTTTTTAATGAAAATGTAGTAATTTTCAAATTTTACTAAATACATCAGTGAAATTCACAAGTTCACTATACGATTGAAAAGAAAATATTTTTTATTCGGAAAATATAATGAATAAATTTTTGTATTTCAATTTTTTCTTATTTAAAATTGTTGATTGAGAAATGTTGCAAAAATATTTAAACTACATTGTTTAACTAAATTTAATTAGTTAATAAATATTTTACTTTAAACAACTAATGTCAATAGATGTTAAATTCATTTTATTAATTTCTTAATAAGAATAATTCTACAAGATTATTATCAAGAAAATTTATATCCAATATTTTAGAATCGAAATGAGACAAATTTTCAAAATTTTAATTAAGTAGGATATTCTAAAAAAAAAAAATTCTTAACACTGAAAAAAAATTCTGGTTAGGGTATATTTAACATTACTTTCTAGTTATGTTAACCAGAATTCTAGTTGAATTAACTAGAATTCTCGTTAAAATAACCAGAATTCTGGTTAACCTAACCAGAATCAAAATGTTAAATATACCCTAACCAGAATTCTGGTTATTCTAACTAGAATTCTGGTTATTCTAACTAGAATTTTTTTTCAGTGAATGTTTCATTTTCATAAATTTTTTAAATCTGATTTAAGCAATTTATTTGAATTTAAAATTTTTCCATACTTTTTAATTTTAATTATCACTAAAATTTTAGAGAATAATTAATTTTTACAGATTTTTAAATAAATTTTTTCTTTTTTAATAATTAAATTGGAGAAGATTTGAAATTTGAAATAAATTTTCTGTAAATTTAAACTGCTATAGTTTTTTTTTTTTTCAAATTTCAGACAACAATTTAATGTCAGAGTTTTTATTTGAAACTTTTTTAAATTATTGAATATTTGAATATAACATTTTTTAAAAATAAATGAATTTTGAAAAAGTTACAGTTGAAATTTTTAGAAATAATTGAATTTCAAAAGATTTTGTAAAATTTCAAACTATAATAATTAAATTTGATAGAATTGAAAATAATTTATCAAATTATTTAAAAATACCCTATTTTGAAAATAATTAAATTTTTAAAGATTTACAATTCAGATTTTTGAGAACAATTGAATTTTTAAGTGATTTTTTATTGAAATTTTCAGTAATTTTTCTGTTGCTGAAGAATTTATTATAGAAATAACAGAAAAAAATTGAATTTTAAAAGATTTTAATTAAAAAATATTTACAGATATAATTTAATTTTTGAAGAATATTATAAAAAGAATTGAAAATAATACAAAGCTGAAGTACACAACGTTTAATGATAAACGATTTTTTAAAGAAATAATTTTTAAAAATGAAAGATTCTAAAATTTTTCGCCCAAAAAAATTAGTTTTCATTAATCAATAAATTATAAAAAAAAATATTTTTTAAGCAAAAAATTATAAAATTTTTCATTTCAAAAAATTATTTCTTTAAAAAAAAAAATTTTTAATTAAAAATAGTTTTTAAAATAATTTAATTTATGAAGAAGCTCATTAAAATATATTAAAAATAATAAATTAAAAGAAGAATTTAAGTTAAAAATTTGTTAAATAATTGAAATAAAAAAAGTCCTGAAGAATATCAGCATGGTACACTAAAAAAGGCGTATTTTGTTTAAAAATAATGTTAATAATTATAATAATAATAATTATTAACTCGAAAAAAGTCGTATATTTTCGAAAAAAAAGTCGGAAAAAATTATTATTTTTTTTTTTTAAATAAGGAAATAAAAATAATAATTTATAAATTGAACCTATTTTGCAACAGTTTTTTCAAGATATATAAAATAAGTTTCTTTTAAGTATATAGAAAAAAATTTTCTGTATTTTTTTTTTTTAAACTTTCTTTGCTTTTTTAATTATATTATCTTTATAATTCTTCATGGATTATTAAAACAAAGCTGAAGTACGCAACGTTTATGATAAACGATTTTTAAAGAAATAATTTTTTAAAATGAAAAATTCTTTAATTAATTGCCTAAAAAATATTTTTTTACAATTTGTTGATTAATGAAAAATACAATAAATATTTTTTAGGCAAAAAATTATAGAATTTTTCATTTTAAAAAATTATTTCTTTAAAATTCGTTTATCATAAACGTTGCGTACTTCAGCTTTGTTTATTAAAAATGTTAATTTTTAATATAATAATAATAATAATAATAATAATAATAATAATAATAATAATATAATTATAATAATAAATTTTTTTTATATTTACCCAAACATTTGATTATTTTAACTTTTGGAGAAAATGATTAATTGCGCGAAGAAATTGAATATATGTATATTTCTTTTTTTTTCCTTCTCTCTCTCTCTCTCTATGATATAAACAACAAATGCTGCAAATCACTGCTCGAGAGCTTCTTCCTGCTTTTTCCTGACTGTCGACGCACTCATTTGCGGCACTGTCCCTTGCGTTTGTGATTATTAGACATATATATAGAAGTAGAGGAGACATATAATGAACAACAATGAGCTGGATCATCCGAAATCACGAGCACACATATATATATATATATTTCTAAAATTTCACCTTCAATATGTTATATTTTTAAAAAAGTAAAAATGAGTATTTGAATTTTTAACCTTTCAGGGTCACTTCATTTATATTCCATATATGTCAAAGTCTTTGCCGAATATTTTTTTTTTTTTTTTTTTTTTTAGAAACTTTTGTTACTTTATAGATTTTTGGAATGTCCTGTATTGTAATGTGTATCTAATATTGATACATTTTTGTCAATTATTTTATAAAATATTCTATAAATTTCTCGTAGTATTTTAATTTTTCTGTTGAGCTGTAAGGAGAAACGTTTTTTTTTTTTTTTTGCAATTTTTTGGCAAAATCCATAATAAAAATGAATTGAAAAAAAATTTAACAGTTAAAAATAGTTAAAAGGATAATTGACTGATGAGATTGTAATTTTTAAAAAATATAATTTGATGAATAATTTAAATATTTATAAAAATAAATATATATAAATTTAGTACTTCTCTTGAAGTACTAAAAAATTAAATTGTTTTACAAAATTTTAAATTAAAATAAATTCACATAAATATTTAAAATTAATAATTATTTTAAATTTGAAATTCGATTATTTTAAAATTAATTTACTATACAAGTTTAATTAAATAAAAATCGATAAATCAACAAAATTATTCTAGAAAAGTAAATAATTTTAAAATAATACGAAATTATATTTTCAAATATGATTTTTAAATTTTAAATATAGTAAAAATATATAATAAATTTTATATATATATTTATATTGCAGCACTAATATATGAAAAAGTAGTTGTATTTTGAAAGCCAAATTGTTATTAAATTAAATAATTATCAGTAAAAATTTAACTGAAAATAAATTAAAAGTTATAACCGAAATTTTTTTCAATTTTCACATAACCTAAAAACGAATGTAATTTAATTGATAGGATTGATAGTTATTTGTATAACTAAATAATTAGTAGAAATATTAGTTTATACAAAAATATAAAGAATTTACCATAACCAATAGTTGTGAAAAATAATCATTTTTATGATTTTTATGGAGAAAATAAAGAATAAATTCTAAAAGAAACGTTCAATCTTGTTTGATCTTGTTCATATTGTTGAACCGACTGAGACTGAAAACGAAATAATTGTTATCATTCGAGATGCGCTTTCGAAAAATCTGTTTTATCGACATTCAATTATGTTACCATTCGAGTTTAAGTAAACATCTGTATTATCGACATTTGCATTCATCTGTCAATCTACTTAAATACTACGTCATTCTTTGGTGATTCTTTGACTGATTCGATTGAAAAAGAACATACTACGTCTTGTTTTGAATACTTTTTTTCCATTAAAAGAAAATCCCTGTGTGCTTGTGGAAAAAAAATGAAGGAGATTCTAATCGCGTTATTCGCGATTATAGCTGGTGAGTTTTTTTTTCGTTTGTTTGCCCCTTTACTATAACCTAAGATTTAGTTGCACTATTTTTGTTTTGTATTTCCTTTGTTTTAAACAAAAGCTCATTAATGAACTACATAAATACTTGCATTCTTCAGTAGTTTCCGGTGAGAAATCACTGAATTTATGAACGATTTGTATTAATCAATTTAGCAAATCTTTCTGATTTCCATGATCATTTGTTTTATAATTTTTTTTTTCTTCTAGAAAATTATGCAACTTGTAATAATTAATATTAGAGTTTCGAGAATTTTTTATTTTATTATTTTTTTTTCTATAATTTATTTATTAACTGGATTCGTCCCCGGAAGTACTGAGCATATATTATAACCTGTGGTTAGATGATTCAGAAAAAAGTAACTTGTTTTCTCTGTTTCTCAGAAATTCAAGTAACTCTTCATTGTTACCAGATGAAGAAATTTCGTCATTTTAAAGTTTTTTAAAAATTACTTTCATGACTAATCACAAAAAAGGCATATTAAGAATAATATTTAATTATTTATTTTTCAATTTCTAAACTAACCAAATTTATATTTTAGCAAAAAAATTTTTTAAATATAAGTAAAAAATATTTAATTTTCATACAAATGTCGAATTAATTTTGTAAAATAGTTAAATCAATTGTTTATAATATTAATTTTTTTTATTTCTCATGCAACTTTTACTTTCGATAATAAATAATATAGTTTATTCATCGAGGATTGCGAGAAAGTCCAAAGTTCTTGTAAGTTATCACATCTTTAAAAATATAGAATGAAACTACGTTTAAAAGTGAACTATTTTTAAAACTTTTGTAGCTCTAATTTTTTTTTCTTTATATACATATTATGTTTATAGGTCATTTTAGATAAAAAAAACCACTTTTTTTTTAAATTTATTATTTCTATGAATACAAATATTATTCTGAGGTAAATAATATTTTAGAATTAAAAATAAAAAAAAATCGTATAATGTAATTTTCAAAAAGAGGAACTTGTTAATTTTCAAAACAAAGTCTTTTGTTGGATGCACATACACGGAAAGGGGAGTATAATACTTGATAACACACGAGTTATTGATAAGGGGAAGTAGATTCTTGAAACATGAGAATATTTTGAAATTCACTCTTTAAGAATGACAAATCTCTTGTATGAAAAAAAAAAAAGATTATTTATCAATTAGGTAGTATTATATTTCATTTTAAGTATTTATAAAGAACATTCTTTTAGAAGTTGTGCGCAAAAAAAAATGCCATTAATAACTTTTTAAATTTATATAATTTTTTTTTCCTTTTCTAAATAATTTATCCATTTTTTTATTTTGAATTTTTATTTTATTTTTTTTTTTTAATTTTCTCCTTTTCTTTATTATAAATTTATTTTTATCATTAATTTTTTTCTATGTAGTAGTTTCTGGAGGAATAATAAATTATCATAATATGTTTACGTAATTGAATTAAGAATAATAAGATTAAACTATTTTTAATACTCAGAAATAGGGTCAAATGCAGTAAATGTAAATAAATTATCTCATTTTCACCAAATGACTGAATTTTTATTTTTTTCGAAGGTAATATTTTAATTATATCCTTCATTGGTTATTTTATATTTTTAGTTTCGATTAAATTTTTAAAATAATAAAAAAAGTTCAAAATTTTGAGAAAAAAAAAAATATATTTTTTCAGTCTCATCGGCAGCAGTGATAATCAAAGCTGAGGGACAAGAGACACCTCATCTTTTGGGTGCAAAGGCTTGCACATGGGGACCTTCTTATTGGTGTCAGAATCTCACGTACGTTTTTTGAATTTAATAAACAATTTTTTTTTTTTTTTTTAATTTAAAAAATTTCGATTAAATTAAAAAAAAATAAATGAAAATTATTTTTATATTAGAAATTTACTTCAAAATTTTCAGTAACAATTTTTATTAATTTGTATATTTTCACCACTTTTGGACGTAAAATATTAAATAATAGAGAAATAGTAATTTTGGAATTTTTTTTTTCACAGGACTTCGGCAGGATGTAGAGCGACGAAACATTGTATACAAAAAGAATGGATACACATGAAAGTACCTGAGGATAATGACAGTGTTTGTGGTATTTGTAAGGATATGGTTACGCAGGCACGTGATCAATTGGAAAGCAATCAAACACAACAAGATTTAAAAGATGTTTTTGAGGGTAGTTGTAAATTAATTCACATCAAGCCAATTGTAAAGGAATGCATTAAACTTGCCGATGAATTTGTTCCCGATCTTGTTGAAACATTGGCATCACAAATGGATCCATCAGTTGTTTGCTCAGTCGCTGGTCTTTGTAATTCGGCTCATATTGATCAATTGCTACTTGAATATAAAGAAGCCAATACCGAAACAAAGGCAAATAAACGTTTTATTTTTACATATTTTATCCAAAAAAAAAAAAAAAAAAAAAACTGTTGCAGACTATTCGAAAAAAAAGTTTACATTCTAATTTCCAAAATATAGTAAAATTTTCTTTAAACTTAGTTGGCAACGAATTTTTAATAATTTCATATTAAAATATTTATTTTTGTCAATTTTTGCATAATTTTTATTTCTATATTATTGAAATTAAAGGTAGAGAAGAGGCCATTTGGTGATGATGAACTTGATCCAAACGAATGTTCAAAATGCTTTACAATTGCAACTCATATGGAAAATAAATTTCACACAACGTCACGCGATAATTTCCTTCAACATTTACTTAATATTTGCGGACAATTCAGTTCATTTTCAGATGCATGCTCATCAATTGTTTTAATGCATTTTGAAACTATTTACGATCATTTGCAAAATAATTTGAAAGCTCAAAATATTTGTCATCTCTCCGGACAATGTAGCAGTAAATTCCACAAACACGATGACGAGAAGGTAATTGATTTAATTATATAGATATATATTTTTCTGACACACAAAGCATAAAAATTCTGTTAACATTTAATTTAAATTATAAAAATATATTTGTTAGAATTTTATTTTAAATTAATTAAAATTAAACTATTTGTAAAAATAAATATATATTTTTTAAATTATATATAATTTTTTTTTTTTAATTTCAAAAATAGAATTTGGAAGTTGAAATTCGTCCATTGTCCAGTGTTGGAATGGTTGAAATCGGCGATGATTTGCCTTGCAAATTGTGCGAACAATTAGTTACACATTTAAAAGAACTTTTGGTTGCAAATACAACTGAGGCTGAATTTAAAACGGTTCTCGATGGACTTTGCAAACAGACCCATTCATTTGCTCCTGAAGTAAGTTAAAAAAATGTTTAAAATTATTTAGTAAATTTTGTTATTAAGTATTTAGTATTTTTTAGTCTTATTATGTTTTACATATAGAATTTGTAAAAAATATTTCTTTTTTTTTAGTATTTACAAAATATTATTTTATTTCTTTTCAGTGTAAATCAATTGTTGATCAATATTATCCTGAAATTTATTCTTTCCTAACGTCAAAATTAAATGGCAATGAAGTTTGTTTAATAGCTGGAATTTGTCCAATGCCCGATAAAAGTGTTTATGTGAGTATTTAAAAATTGAAAAATAAAAATTAATTTTATAAATAAAAAAATATATATATATATAATCAATTTTAGAATGGACCAATTGCACCTCTTTTGCCTGAAACAACGAGAATAATTGCTGAGAAATTTGTCCAAAATCAACATCACTCAGAAGCTGAAGAAATGCAATTGCCAATTGAGAGACATTTGTCATTTTCTAGTATTTTATCACCACGAATGGACGTTGAAGGCAAAACAACTTGTGCTTTTTGCGAGATGCTTATACATTACGTGCAAGAAGTTCTCACGACTCCAAAAACCGAGGTAATTTATTTTTTTAATTAAATTATTTTTTAAAATAAAATTTAAAACAAATAATCTATAGATTTTTAATTAAGAAATTAATTTTCTTTTTAAATTAAAATAAGAAAATAAATTAAATTTTTTTCATTAATAATTAATAAAATTAAATATATTTAAATAATAAAAATATTTTTAAAAAATTGAATTTTCAATTTATGTGAATTTCATTTTTATTAATTTGAATGACAATATTTTTTATTAAATTAATATATCCTATGTACATTTTTTTTTTTTTTTTTTTTAAGGAGGAAGTGAAGCAAGTTTTTGACAAAGTTTGCATAAAATTACCATCGTCAGTCAAAGATACATGTGATGAATTTATCAACGCTTACGGCGACGCTGTTATAGCAATTCTCGTTCAAGAAATCGATCCAGTAAAAGTAAATAATATTTTTTTTTACTCTTATGATGATTTTAATTTAAATGTTTTATTTTAGAATAATTTTGAAAAATAGTTCATTACAATTTACATACAAAAAAACGTAATATTAAAAAAAATAACATTTTTTTTCGATTTTTTCTATTTATAGATATGTCCAATGATTAACGTCTGTCCCTCACAAAAACAATTGGAATTTTGGGAAAAAATTCCATCTGAAATGATAATAAAAACTGAAGTTAATGACAAACCAAGTTGTCCACTTTGTTTACTTGCTTTGGAACAAATTTACAATACTATTAAAAATAATAAAACTGAGGTGAGAAAACTACATAATATTTTGTATTTTTCTTTTTCAATTCAAGAAAATTGAATTATATTCAATTTAATTGTATTATTATTATTATATTATTATAATTATAAATTTTATAATAATTGTTGAAACAAAATTAAAATCAAATTAATTTTTGTTTGCAGGCTAATATTGAATATCAATTAAGTAGATTGTGTACTCATTTACCAAAGAGTTTAGTTGAAGAATGCAATGATTTAGTTAAGGGATATAGTCGTGAACTTATTGAAATGTTACTCGCTGATCTTACACCACAAGAAGTTTGCACCTCTATTAAATTATGCGATCCTCAAAAACACGTTGGTCCAACAATTGATACTGTCATTAATTCTTATCCAGTTGATAAAAATGGAGAAATCAGTGAGTACAAAAATCTTACCTTAATTTAATTAATTTCAATTTAAATCGAATTTTCATTTTATTTTCTTATTTATTTAGTTTATTATCAATTATTTAATTTTTATTTGTATTAAAAATTTTTTAATATTAATATTAATCGATTAAAAATTTAGAAAATAAAATAAAAATATAATATTAATAAAATAAAAAACATCATTCATTTCATTTTCTTTAGTTACAAATGAAATTCCCAATTTTTCATTACATCCAACTGTAAAGAAATCATTGAAAGATGACACCGAATGTGTAATTTGTGAATTTATTATGCAATACTTGGAGAAAGCATTGAGTAATAAAAAAACAAAAGAAGAAATTGAACACGTTGTACATGTGATTTGTAATCATTTGCCAAAAACAGTATCCAAGGAATGTAATCAATTTGTTGATGATTATGCGGAAGTTGTAATTGATCTTTTATCAAAAGACGTTAGTCCCAAGGAAGTTTGTTCAATGATTAGCCTTTGCAATACGACTATGCAAGATTTTAAAAGTAAAATAAATTTTATTCAATTATTTTTAGTTTTTTAAAGAATTTTATTTCTATAACAAAAATTACGTTTTTCATTAAATTCTTTTATCTGATGCTTTTCTCTATTTTTTTATTTCCTCATTTTTTATTCTTAAATGTTTAATGAATTAAAAGTAATTTTTGTCGAAATTTTTTTTTTTTAAGAAAAAATTTGAGAAATTAAATGGAATATTTTTCTTTTAGAATCAGTTAGCGAATGTGCTCTATGTATGGATATTGAATCGCACATTTACAAAAAAGTTGGCGATACAAAAGACGTTGATGAGATTGAGGCAATTATTTCCAAAGTTTGTAAATATTTATCACCAGTTCATGAACATAAAGTGAGTAAATATTAAATTATTTATTTTTGTTGTTGTTATTTTCTTTAAATTTATTAAAAATATTTTAATTTCCAGTGTACGATGATGATGGAAATATACGAACCAAGTATGATTAATATAATGAATAATTATGAGGAATCGCCAAAAATTTGTAGTAAACTTGCCCTTTGTTCAAAAAATGAATATTTGATGTTAGTCGATAAACATAGAGAAAGGCGCGATATCATTGAAGGTAATAAAGATTGCACTTGGGGTATTAGTTATTTGTGTTCCAGCAAAGAAGCAACAAAAAAATGCGACGTAATATTTTCAAATATTTTTACCTTTTAATAATATAATAAAAAAAAAAGAAAAAACTTTTTTTTTTCACTTTAATTTACTTTAATTTAGAATATTTAATGAAACAAATTATTTTTTACAGGTCGAAGAGTACTGCAGGAGAATTAATGAATTCAATGATAAAACATCTAAAGAAACAAATTCGCAATAACGCGAAATGCGAAAATAACTTTTCGATCAAAATATAGATCAAATATTAAAATAATTTTTATACTGAAATGAAAATTCGATGACAAAAACGTTTTTTTTTTAAATAAATATGAAAAAAGTAATTCATAATTTGAAAACTTTTTGCATCAATGTATAACAATTACTTAATAAATCTTATATCGTTTATATATATATATATTAACATTAACGTATAAGTAAAAAAAAACTAGAAATTTTATTTAGTAGACATTGTTTAAATTAAGTTCTCTTCCAATTTTCTTTAATAATTTATACAAAAAAAAAAAAAAATTAGGTATAAATTTTTAATAATTACTTTTTTCTTTAATAAAACAATTTTTTTTTATTTCACTTAATTTTCGGAAGCATAAGAATCCATGAAAATGTACTTTCAATTTTTAGTACTGTAAGTTTACTGTGATAATGAATAAATAAAAATTCTTTTAAAATGTAAAGTAATTGTTAATTTTTTTCAATTAAAAGCGCAAAAATTGGGGAAATATTTTTAAATAATGTTATCTAATTTTTTTAATATTTCAAAATTAACGAAATAAAAATACATTACCTTTTAGAAATTCATTTGAAAAAAATTATTATCAGGTTGTAAATTTAATTTTCATTATATTTAATATATGGAGATTTTATAGTTTCGTGCGCCAAAAGTGACCAATGAGCGCAATTGTTGTGAAGTATGCGCATTGTCCTTGTGTCATACTTTGGAAATTCTACATTTCGCGCATGCTCATTGCACTCAGTGAATTCTTTTATCAATCAAAAAGATCTTTATAATCATTCTTTTTTCTTTTGTGATTGTTTGTGTGTGTGTATGACTATTTTATGAATAGAATTTTTTTTCGAACAAATCAGTGAATGTGTAAATTAAAAAAATTAATTAAAACGAATGTTTTTTAGTATAAAAATAATTTTATCAGCATGTGGAAGTGCCACAAATGTGGAAAACCCGTTTACTTTGGTTAGTAATTGCCATCCATTTTCTTTTAATTATAAAAATACAATTCTTTGTTATTATTTTAACAAATCTATTAAATTAAATTTTCATTTGACAACATTTCTTTCGATTATTATTATTTCTTTTTTTTTATTAATTAAATATGCAACAATGTTTGAAAAATTCAGGTCAATGTACTATTTTCTAGGTTATCTTTTTTTTTGACGTTTCGGAATGTCAAAATTTCTGCAATTTTATACATTTTGCTTTTTGAATATTATTGTCTGAGTGTCGAATATATCATTTCAATGCTAGATATATCGGTAATAAAAATATTTTATTGGAATATTATATTAAATATAATTAATTGTATATAAAACAGTAAGTTTATGATAACATTCAATTGAGGGGGGAAAATATGTTTAAGAAAATAAAAATGTAATTTCAGCGGAACGTAAACAATCATTGGGATACGATTGGCATCCCGAGTGTTTACGATGTGAGGAGTGTGGAAAACGATTAAATCCAGGACAGCATGCAGAGGTAATTAATTGTTATTTTTGAATTTTATTCTGTGGGCGAAATTAAAAGATTTTTTTTACGATCTTATTTAAATGGAATAGATGTTAGTAAAATAAATAAAATAGATGTTTTAAAAATGTATATTTTTTTTTCTTTCTATATCATTATTTTTAAATTAAAGATTAATTATAATTATTATTTTTATTAATTATTAATAATTATTATTAATACTTTAAATTATTATTATTATTATACATTTTATTCTTTCGTAATTTTTCGTTTATGAATAAGTTTTTATTCTGTACAATTTTTTAAAAATTATTAATATTTTTTTACTAGCATAAAGGTGTTCCGTATTGTCATGTCCCTTGTTATGGAGCGCTTTTTGGTCCTCAATTATTTGGTCATGGTACACGAGTTGAATCTCATACTAGTTTTGGAAAAAAAGAACTTCGCTCGACATTGCCAAGGTAATTTTTTTAAAAGCTATAATTTTTTTTTCTCTCCTTTTACCCCCCAAAAAATCGACTTTTTTAATCACTTGTTAAATAAAAGTAAAATTAATAGAAGTTGTTGAAAGAAATTAAATAATTTGTTAAAAAAAAATAAATAAAAAATATTCTAGATTTTAATCTTAAAAATGTTATAGTGCATTTTATTATTTTATGTAAATTAATTGTATATATTTTATTTTTAAAAAAATTTGTTCAATATTTTTTCGAGATTTAAATATTACATAAAAATATCTATTTACAATTAAAAATTTAATTTCTTATCTTAATCAAATTTTTGGGAAATTATTTTTTATATTTTAGATCGCATTTGGAATCGAAACTAAAAGTTTTTAATCAATATTATGAAGGAAAAAGTGGAGGAATCCGAAGCCGAGAGGTATTTTAATTAATTTATTTCGTTTTTTAGGAAATAAATATTAAAATAATGAAATAATTATCTAATGTTGAAGAATATTCATTTTTCAAATTTCTTTCTGATTTTATTTTTTTTGATTTCCAACAACAAATCGACTAATTTTTTTTTTTTTACAATTATTAGCATACAAAAATGTACGAAATTTTTCAAAATCTATCAAAATAATTAAATTTTTTAAAATTAACATTTATTTTTTTTTTCGGAAAAAATTGAATTTCAGGCCATTTTAAATTGAAATTCTTTGTAAATTTATACTTTTGAATTTTTTTAATACAAATTTCAGTCAATGATGAAATTTTAGGAAATTTTGGATTAAAAATTTTTGTAAATAATTAATTTTTTAAAAAACTATTAAAATTATTAAAAATGATTAATTTGGCGAAGAATTTTAGATAAAAATTTATAAATACTTAAATTTTGGAGTAGTTCCTATTAAGATTTTTAGAATTAATTGAATTTCAAAAGATTTGAAATTGAAAATAGTAAATTTCAATGGCTGAAGATTTTTTTTTTCTTACAAATTTTTTATAATAATTGAGTATAAATTATTATTAATTTTTTGTTAATCACTAAATTATAAAAGATTTACAATTGAAAATTTAGAAAATATTTGAAAGTAATAAAAAATTTTATAGATACAAATTTTTTGTAAAAATGTTATTTTCGATGTACATATTTGAAAATTATTAATATCTCGAAGAGCTGCAATCAAAGTTTTTATTAATATAATGGAATTTTTGAAAAATTTATAATTTAACTTTTTTACAAATAAATTCTGGAATTTAAAATTAATGTGCTAAAAGCAATAATTTTAAGTTTGTTATTGCTTAAAATTAAATTATTGAAGAAGTTTATTGAATTTTTTGAAAATGATAAAATTTGCAAAGAGTTTTAGTCAACTTTTTTTATTTGTAAATAATATAAATATATGGATTTAATAGAAATAAATCAATTTTAAAAGAATTGCTATTAAAAGTTTTGACCTTTTTCTACTATTTTACAGATTTTAAACTAAAAATTTCAAAAATAATTCAATTATCGAAGAATTTATTCAAAATTATGAAATAATTAAGTTTTTTTTAAATAACAATAATTTAAATTGTAAGGCAGGAGGAGGATTTAAAGGAAATTGTAAAGGTCCATGAAAAGGACATGCAATGAAATAAATTATTATTATTATAATTTAAATTGTAATTTTGAAAATAATAGAATTTTCGAATATATTGAATTAAAAGAATTGTAAGTAATTGAAATTCGTAAAATTTTTTTGTAAGTTTTGAAAATTATGGAATTTTTAAAAAGAATTTCATTAAAACTTTTGAAAATGTGTAATTGATTTTTTTTTTTTTTTAAAGAATTTGAAATGTTTTTTATACAATATTTAAATATTTGTTTAATAAATAAATAAATGTTTGTTTAAGATAATTTTCATTCGATCAAATTTTCATTTATTACAATTTTTTTAAAAATAGAATTCACATTTGATAAAAAAGAAAAAAAAACCCTGATAAAATAATAAATAATTTATATTTAATAGGTGAATGGACGATTAATTTTGGAAGGAGCATTAAGAATTTATTGGGGTGTACGAGGTGTTATTCACTTAAAGGAAGATGACGATCAACGAACGGTTGTCACTGCTAGACATAGAAATTCCTGTAGACGAAGTGTTGCTGATGTTTGTATTTTTCATTTTTCTCTAATTAAATTCAATAGAGATTTTATGTTTTTAAAGGAAAAAAAAATTTTGTTTTTAACTTTCTATGAATATTTAATATTTATAAATTATTAAAATATTATTTCATAACAATTGATTAGTTAATAAATTTTTTCCTTCAATTTAGGAAGTTGATAAAGGTGAAATAATAGACACAACAAAGAATTTGTCAACAGTTGAAAATAATTTGGAAAGTGAATCAGAATCAGTTCCACCATCTCCTGATCATTTAAAAAGTTTAACTCTACCCATGAAATTGGAAGTTAAAACTTCAGAATGGGACGAACTCGATGAACTTCTTCAGGTAAATTTTATGTCAATTAAAAAAATAATTTTTTAAAAATGAAAATTAATTAAGAAAATTGAAATATTTTTCAGGTGGAACGAAAAGTGGAGGAGGGTAATAAACTTTATCAAACAATGCCTGAAAGTTTACCATCAATAAGTTCACATTCCAGTAATGAAATAACATCGCCGCAAATTGCTCGTTCAAATAATGAAACACACGTGAAAAATGGTTCGATAACAAATAGTCCAAATCATAAATTGGATAAAGGAAGTGAAAGTAGTATTAGCAGTACACCAACTCATAGTGTTGGTGATAGTTCTTCCAGTACTGATACGCCAATTTATCATGGAACACCAAATAAAAATGGCACACTACGTCAAGTCGAATATTTTGATAGTTTAGACAAAAGTATAGCTAGTAATAGATCGATTGACAGTGATGAAAGTTGGATAGAAAAGGGATTAAATCGATCAATGTCAGGTCCCGATTGTTTACAGAGGCATCGAAACGACAGCGATACCGATTCGGTGAATTCACTTCAATTTCGTGACGATGATAATATGACCATGTCAACTGACAGTGGATTAGAGGTTCTTGTTTAAATTTATTTTATCTATCATACATAGTTACAAAAATTAATTTTTTTTAAAAGAATTAATAATTGATTTATTATTTTTAACGTTAAATATAAGATTACGGAACAATTTACAAAATTTGAATTCATTTATTAAAATAGTTAAATAAGCAATTTTTTTTCAATTGTTATTTTCAGTTGGACGGCGTTGTTTTGCGTCGAAAACAAGGATCGACAGCAATAAGACGTCGACCCGGAGGAAGACGTCAATCGCGTAATCGATTGCGACGACGTTGTTCGATTAATGGACATTTTTATAATCGTGAAACAAGTTTTTTTACACCACCACATGGATCACAAATGTCCGTTTGGGTCACTAGTCTCGTAAGCTCTCAGGAAGTTATTAATTTGATGCTTGACAAATACAAGGTCGATGCTAAACCTGATAATTTTGCTCTCTTTGTCATTCGTGATAATGGAGGTGAGATTTATTGTTTTCATTCTCGAAAGAAATATTTTAAGAAAATCAAAAATTATTTTTTTTTTTGAAAACTTGGAATTTCTTTTTTATTTGTTTAAAAATTGAAATTTTATTTTAGAACAACGAAGACTGCGTGACGAAGAATATCCATTGGAAGTAAGAGTTGTTTTGGGACCTCATGAAAATATTGCCCGCCTTTTTCTTGTCGATAAACTCTCAACACCTGAAATAAGTTCCGATGTTGCACAATTTTTGAATTTATCTCTCGCCGAGTGTCAAGGAATTTTACAACGTTATCATCATGAGGAAGAAAGACATATTTTGCTTCTTAAAGAAAAGTAAGTTTCCCCCTTTTTTAGGCTAATTTTTCAAATAATTATCATTTTACAATAAAAAGAAATAAAAAATTTGTTTAAAAAAATAATTTTGTTTTATGTTTAGTAAAATATTTTAATTTTGCAAAAAAATTAATTAATTTTTTATTTTTAGATACAAAGAAATGCGTCGACGAATAAAACAAAGAATGGAAGATCTTAAAGTTCGATTATAAGACAAAAAAAAAAAAAAAACAAATGGATTGACGTACGTATGAAAAAAGTCTTGAAATATTTTTTTTTTTTTGAATATTTTCAAATATTTGGAGACTCAAAAAATAATTATTGTACATTTCTCTAATTTTCTTTCTTTGTTTAAAAAAACAAAATAAGAGTGCAATTCGCCTATGAAAAAGGTTTTAAATTATCGCAATTCCAAATAATTTGATACAAACAAAAAAACGCTCCAATTTTATTGAATTCCAAACATAGATTTTTTGACTCACAATATTATTAATATATAATTGTGAGAAAATTTTAGAATTTTTTATCTATAGAAGAAAGTAGAATTTCTTGCACAATTATTGTTGGCATGGAGTCGACAATCATTTAGTAAAATACGTGTATTATAATAATTATTCACAGGAACATTTAATCTAGTTTAGATTTATGTGCGATTAAAAAAAAAAAAAAAAAATGCATGTCTACATCGATAACATTATCATATATTTGAAAATTAACCTTACATGGGAACTTGATTTTATTCTACGATAAAATTTATATTTATGCCAGAGAAAAAAAATGAAATTGGTGCTTTTCAATTTTAAATTGAATTAATTTTTTTCTAATTTTTCATAATTCTCTTGTTTTTACTTTTTCATATTATTAGTAGTAATAATTATTAAATAATTAATTATTAAATATTACTAATAATAATATTAATAATATAATAATAATTAATATAATTAATATATAGTTTAATAATATTAATTAAATATTTTTTGTAATTTAAAAATTTTGATATAAATTTAAATTGAAAATCATTTCCCTATTACAATACAATTATCTCGTTTCTTAAAATTTAATATATTACAGAAAAGTAATAATAATTATTATTTCAATAATACCGAAAATGTGGTCTGTGAAAATGAATTTTTTCACGTAAACAACTGTGATTACGCAAATCCATTACTTAAAATCCATAAAAAAAAAACTTGAAAGTACAATAAAAACCGATACTTTTCAAGATAATACATATAAATGAAAGATCCAAATTATTTTTATTGATACTAAAATTTTTTTACTAAAAAAAAATTGAATAACTATACATTTTATAAAATAGCTAAATGTCTCGATTTTTTAACATATTTACTTTATTTTCTTTTTTTATAACAAATATAATCGAATTTATCGTAACTTTTTTTTTTAATCTTAAGTTGTTCCATATTATTAAAAAAAAAAAATTTTCTTCCATTTTAAAGAATTTTAAAGAACTTCCACTTTAAAGAATATTAATAATTTTTAATTATCTAATTAAATTAGTTAATAAAAAAAAAAATAATTAACTTTTTTTCTTTGTACTTTATCCAATACTGGATGCAAAATTATATTTCATTTTGTTTAAAATTCAATTTTCAAGATTTTCTTTTTCTACAATAAGAACAACCTGTGATCTCGAAACTTGTATGGTCAGTGGAACGCTTAATAATTACAGCTGATTATATATTTAGTGATAAATATATATAAATATATATTATGTAAAAGATTTAGAGAAAAAAAGAAAAGTACTGGAAAATTTTTTAAAATAAGTTTATAAGATTCGTTATTGTAAAATTAATTTTACGATTTATTATATATTATTATTTGTAACACTGCCGCTTTTATTTTGACTGTCTGCATTTACTAACAATCAGCTGAATAGTTTAAAACGTAACATTTATCAATATATTATCAATCGTTAGATAATAGTTTTTTTAGAACAATTTTTAAGTGAACATTGAATATAATTTCAGAAATTGTTACGACTATTGTAAAAGTTGTTTTTTTTTTAAAATATTATACGATTGAAAGTGTTTAATTGTACAAAAAAAAAAAAAAAACGAAATCAAATGATTTTATGTCTCATTTTTAAATGGAAAATTTAATTTATAAATTAAAAAAAAATTAAAATTTAATTTTTATAAATAAATTTCAAAATTAAATTTCAAAATTAAATATAAATAATTTGGAAATTTAATTTTTTAATTTAAAAATTACAAAATTTTAATTTATAAATTAAAATTCTTATTTTTTGGAAGAAATCATTGTGAAACAAAAAAATTACTATATAATTTAAAAAAATATACATATTATATAGTTAAGCAATATTGATTAATCAATTTTCTTGTAATTGATTGAATCTCATATTGTAGTTAAATCTCGTTATTAAACGAGGAAATTTAGATAATTGAACAAATTTCATATCTTTATAGAATTAGAATTTTGTAATATGATTTTTATTAACATATATATGTATTAGTAATTTTTTTTTTAAAGCAAATTCGTAGCGGAAATCTGTTTTTTATTTACTGGTTTCTAGTCAATAAATTTGATCAATATAATTTGTATAAGATTTTTTTTTAATTCGATATTTTTTTTTTGAGGGCTAGCCGTCAGGAATTAAATACAAAATTGTCTAATAAAAAAAAAATTTTAACAAAAATTAAATTTTATTTCTTTGGAAAAAAATGCAAATAAAATTTTTGGAATTAAAAGAATGGAAATTTTATTTACCGAGAAATATTGTACGGCGAATATTATAAAAAAAAAATTATTTTAATCAGCATCGAATTTTTGAGCAAGTATAGTCAATTTAAATTACTCCGTTCCATAATGACAATTTTACCGAATTCCAATTGACATGTACCTACAAAAATTAACTAGTGGATGTTATATAAAAAAAAAAAAAGTGAAAAAAATTTATATATGAATTCTTTATTTGAAAAAGTTGTATTGAAAAGTTGTATACGAGTAATAAATAATTGTTGCTTCGTAATAGATGTATTAATTAATTTACAAATATTAATTTTATATTAATAATATCTTTGTTCAAACTATTTTTATTTTTCTTTTTTCACTTTTTAAAAATAATAATTTTTTGAATTTCCCGCTAAAATACAACTGAAGAGTTCGTCGGTAATATGAAAAGTGATAAAATTGTAGGTAAAATTTTTACCGTCGGTAACAATTTAAACAGAATGGCGGGAAAACAAGATGGACACTCGTCTCCCAGTCATGAGTGCGGCGGCCATTTGCATTTTTTCGCCATAGTGACGCCAAAGTGCCTGCGTAAATTTTGTTAAAAACTATTAGTTTGTTGTGAATATAAGATGATTTGTGAAATTTTTTTTAACTTTCTGAGTAAAATAATAATCATTTCAATTGGTGAGTAGAATAATTTATATTGACAATGTGTAATAGTTCGGGAAATGTGCGTGAAAAATAGACTTGTTTTCTGTGTATTCAATTTTTTTTCCTCTCCTTTTCCGCTACCGGACTTTTATTTCTGATCATACAATGTGAATTTTGAGATAAATATTAAATGTATTTCATAAAAATTTGGAGAGGATTTCTTTTTTGAAAGTGTACAAATAAATTAAGTTCAATTTCAATAACGCGTATTTTGTATAGGTTAGATTTCTTTTTTTTTTTTTGCCATGTGATCACCGGCATGTAAATGACGCGTTATATTTTATATTTTGTCGAATTTTTAAGAATATTTCGAACTATTTTACAGGAAATATTTGATTAATAGTTCGATGACTCAAGTTTTTTCATTTTTTTGAGAAATGTAATTTTCTAAATTTCTTTTCCCTGTATAAATGTAGAATAGAAGTTTATCAAGTCATGAAATATTTGATTTTTTTACACTTATTCTTCAGTGGGTTCGATTTTTTTCTCAATAAATAATAAATAAATAAATAATAATAATAAATAAATTCAATAATTTCGAACATTTTACAGTCGATATTTAATAGGTATTTTAATATCTCAATTTATTCTGAAAAATATATATTGATGGTATTTTGTGCAATTTTCTTTTCTGAAATTATTTTTGAAAAAAAATTCTTGAAATTTTTTTTTTTTTAATAGTAAATAAATTTAATTTAATTTTTCTTGATATTCTATAAAAATTTTTTATCTTCACATGCAATTTTGAGGTTAAATATTACTTAAATAATGCCTATAGATTAAAAAACAAAAAATTTTTTTTTTTTTTCTCTCAAATTTTCGAGGATTTTCCCATGAATTAAGTTGTTAATTTTCTTTGTTTCAGTTCCCTTTATTGTTGAAAATTCTAGGAAAATTCAACTTCCGATAGCAAAATGAGAAATTCAAGTTATTAGAACTCGGTCTCCTTGAAAGGATTATTTTCCAAATTTTTGGATTCTAATCTAGAGGAGGGATCTCCGGGGACAAATAACTTGAAGACTATTATTTAGCCGGGGTTGATTTTTTTCGTTAGAGGGAATAAATTGAAATGGTGAGTAATTATTAATTTAATAACTAATTTTTAAATTACATAAATTTTAATATCAATTAACTATTAATTATTTTCATTTTATTTAAATATGTACTATAATTATTATTGTTCATTTATTTTAAAATAAGTTAAAAAATTTTTAAAAACAAAGAAAATAAATAAAATTATTTTTATCATACCTGTTTTTTTTAATGTTCAATTTAAAACTACAATTTTTAAATATTAATATTAATTTTTTTATTTTTTCATTGTTAAAGTTTTATAAATATCATATCATAATCATTCGCCCTATTTTTAACATTTAAATTGTTTATATTGTTGCTTTAGTGGAAAAAAAGAACATGTTGAAAATAATTTAAAAAAAAAAAAATTTTACGTTGTTACCACTGAAAAAAGAATAACATTCTAAACATTAATTTATTTACTAACGTTTGACTTTCAATATGAATAGTTCACGATTATTATATTAAAACATATTATTGTTTAATATAATATATTTATATAATAAATTTATATTTTAATACAATTTTTTTTAATATGTAGTTTCATATTTATTATTTATTTATTTATTTTAACTGGCAAACAAAAATAAGAAAATAATTTTAATTATATATACACAATTATTTTCTTTATTTTTTTTTATTATTTATCATTAATTAATTATTATTTCAAAATAATAAAACTAAAAAATACACAATTCCAGCTCGAAGCTGTTTGTCAGATAATTATTTAATTAATATACAAATAAATATTCTACAAAAAATATTATTTTTTTTAATTTATACTTTAAGAGATAAAAGTCTAACAAAAATAATATTCTATATATTTTTCAACAGGTTTAAAAATGAAGATAGTGACAAAAAAAAATTCCTACTGATATCAAATGTTACATCTAAATTTTTCAAAAAAGGTTAGTTTTTCAATTATTTAACTCAATGAAAAAAATATTCAAAATTCTGCAAATAGGTATATATAGAAAAAAAGCCGGCAAGTTTTTTTATATTAAAAGAAAATAATTTACTTTCTAATATATACAATTTTTAAAATACAAATAAATTCAAATTTTCTTTCTCTAATAAATGGACAAAGGGAATGAAAACAGTAAAAGTTGAATATTATTTAACATGTAAAAAAATATGATTTAAAAATTTGAAAGTAAAGGATTATAAAAATTATCTCTAAACCTGAATCTAGTAAAAGATTTAGATAATTTAAATTAGTGACGTCTGACGTGACTTTTCATTTTTGAATTAGTAAAGTTCAACTAATTAAAAATCTAAAAGTTACTGAATAATTCACATTATTAAATTTTTTTTACTAATATAAATTTAGAGAGTAAATTATTGAACAATTTAAAAATTTAAAAAAAATTATAAAATTTAAATTAACTTCAAACTAAATTAAAATTATGATTTAAGAATTTTTTGAAATTATAATACTTTTTTTATAAGTTAAAAATGAAAGAACATTTAAAGAAAATTAAATTAAAAAAGAAATTAATTTTATAACGGAGGCACTTTGTGCAGAAACAGCACAAGTTCATAAATAAAATTATTGACGAATCAATAAAAAACTGTTTTTTATTTAAATACAAGAATATTTTTATCAATTATGATTTATTCATTTTTTAATTAATAATTATAAAAGTATAAAAAAAAAATTAAATTAACTTTTGGACTTGTGTTATTTCTGCACCAAACGAAATGAAAAACAGAAAAAATGGAACAAAATAAGTGTATTATCACAAATTTATTATATATTTAGTAAAATATTTAAAAAATATTAAATTTTAATTTTTATTGACATTTTATTATTAAAAAACATTATTTTTTCTATTAAAAATTCAATGTACAATAATAATTCAAATTTTTAACATTTTTATTTATTATTAATTTAAAGTTTAAAAAATTTAAAAACACAAGTCTTCTTTTTTAAAAATTTATAAATTAAAGATTTTAAAAAGAGGTGCATTATTATCCTACAAAAATCATTAATTAGAATTTTTATTTTAAAGTAGGGTCAGTTGGGGTAAATGGGGACAAAATCGCTATTTTTCACAAATTACGTAAGTTTCTTCCTTTAAAAGGTAAATTTTGCTGGCTTATTTTTTTTAAGTTGTTATTTACGTTCCTAGGATTAATTTTATGCAGCAGACAAAATTTTAGATAAGCTTTAAACGCATGAAACTGACTGTCCCCATTTACCCCAAAATTTAGAAAATGTCATAAAATTTGGGGTAAATGCGGACAGCATAGTTTCTAAGAAAGTTTTAAGAAAAAAGTTTCCTTAAGTATATTACTGTATTAAGGGATGAAAAAACTTGAAAAAAATTTGTAGTAGATATATAATAGTTGAACCAATTGAGATTTTTTTTATTTTTTTTTTATTTTAGTATTTTGTCTCGCATTTGAAAAAAAAACAGACTTAAAAATCATACCAAATTTTTTTCTTATTCCTTATGATGACTCCCATAACAGAAATTCACTTGAATTTTAGATTTTTTGTTAATTTGGTTAATAATGACAAAAATAAAAAATTCAAGTGAATTTCTGTTATAGGAGTCATAAGGAATAAGAAAAAAATTTGATATGATTTTTAAGTCTTTTTTTTGAAATGCTCGACAAAATACTGAAACAGTTTGACTTTGATTTTCAAGTTTTTATGCATTGAGCGATAACTTTTTTGATCTTGCTGCCAATTGTCAAGATAAAAGCTTGGCAATACTCAAAACCTCTTGCAGGTGATCTGAGGTTAAAATATTGACGTTGAACTTAATTTTTAAACTGTAAATAAGGCTCCAAAACCTCTTGTCCCCATTTACCCAAACTGACCCTATTTTATTAGAAATAATTATTTTTTAGACGAATTTTAAATTTTCAAATTAAAATTTGACGGATTTTCTGTTTATACGAATTTTTTCATAGCAAAATTTTTAGTTAGGGTAAATGTACTAATTAAGGCGCGATTCGAGTCAAAATACTTTTAAAATAGAAAATTCGATATTTCTATTGTATAAAGTCAATTGAAGACTTATTAAACTAAGAGCTTATGTTATTTAGATATTAAAAAAAATGTAATTTTATAAAAATCGATTATTTAAACAAATATGAGAAATAAAAACTAATACCGTAATTTTCTATTACGGCGCGTTTGTATCAGTTTCGGTATATCAATTTCGGTGACCAAAATTACGTGTATTTTGAAGATACTTTACCCGCCGTAATTGAAGCCAATGGAAATCTTAAAAATGTTTCAATTACGGCGAGGGAAAAAATTTGATCTTGAATAATTAAATTAATAATTGTTTAAACGTGCGTCTTTATAAGTAATTGTATCAAAAAAAGATTAAAATAATTGTTTTTAATCAGTTTGCAACAGTTATATTACATATAATAGTAGTAATAATTATTTTTTATGAACGCGCCGTAATTAGTACACTTACCTTTGACACGGTGACGTAGATTTAAAAAAAATTAAAATGGCGCAATAATATTGTCGATTAAAGCTTAATTTTTAAAAACAAATATCGAATCTACTTAAAAATTGTTACTCGGGGGTTTTCGGGGTCGTTGATTACGAATCTGAGGTAGATTTTCAAAAATTCAAAATGGCCTATCCAATATGGCGGACATAAACGTTAAAAATTTATCGGATCCACTCGAAAATCGTTACTCGGAGGTTTTCAGAGTCGCAGATTACGAATCTGAGGTCGGTTGTTAAAAATTCAAAATGGTGGATTGGTTGTGTTAGATATGGCAGGCTTCGAAGTAACACACTTTTTTACTTTTTTGATACTTTTTCAACAAGACTACTTTTTTACCAATAATTTTGGCCAAAAGCCACTAAATGCTACTTTTTTCAAAAAATAATTTTAAAAATGACAGAATTCAAGAATTTTAAATTTTATAGAATTTTTTTGATTCCAAAAAGCTCAACAAGTTGATGATTTATTATTGACCGCGTGAACTACTGCTTTATATAATTATTTTTTACACGAATTTTAATTTTTCAAAATAGCATTTAACATAATTTCTTTTTAAACGATTTTTTACTCAATAGAATTTTTAATTTGGCAATTTTTTTTTGACAGAATTTTTATTTTACAAAACTTCTCTTTACCCAACTGTTTTTTAAAGAATAATTCTAATTTAACCCATTAACGCCCATGCATAGACACATGGAAATATCTGCACAATCAAAATTGGAAAGAGGACTGCGGTCCAAAAAAATGACTTTTGACGTTAAAAAATGTTTAAAAAATAATTTGTTTCAACAAATTGTTATAAACAAATTAACAAAAATGATGAATTTTTAAAAACTAACAACGCCATTCGATTCTACGGAAAAAATTACTAAAAGAACAAGTATTTTTTTTTCAAAATTTTCACGTCATTTGTTATAAATAATTTATAGACAAAAAATGCACTGTGGTGCACCCATCAGAGCCCATGCTTAGACACATGGAAATATCTGCAAAATCAAAATTGGAAAGAGGACTGCGATCCAAACAATGACTTTTGACGTTAAAATTTTTTTAAAAAATAATTTGTTTAAATAAATTGTTATAAACAAATTAACAAAATTGGTGAATTTTTTTTAAAAAACAGCGCCATTCGATTCTACGGTACAAATTACTAAAGGAACATGTATGACTTTTTCAAAATTTTCAATCCATTTTTTATAAATAATTTATTAACCATAAGTTCACTATGATGCGATGCACCCATCAGAGCCCATGATTAGACGCATGAAAATATCTGCAAAATGAAAATTGGAAACAGGACTGCGGTTGAAACAATTACTTTTGACGTTAAAAATTGTTTAAAAAGTAATTTGTTTAAACAAATTATTTTTTAAACAATTTTTAACGTCAAAAGTCATTGTTTGGATCGCAGTCCTCTTTCCATTTTTGATTTTGCAGATATTTCCATGTGTCTAAGCATGGGCTCTGATGGGTGCACCACAGTGCATTTTTTGTTTATAAATTATTTATAACAAATGGCGTGAAAATTTTGAAAAAGTCATACTTGTTCTTTTAGTTTCTTTTACTTAATTTTTCCCGTAAAATCGAATGGCGCTGTTAGTTTTTAAAAATTCATCAATTTTGTTAATTTGTTTATAACAATTTGTTTAAACAAATTACTTTTTAAACAATTTTTAACGTCAAAAGTCATTATTTGGATCGCAGTCCTCTTTCCAATTTTGATTGTGCAGATATTTCCATGTGTCTAAGCATGGGCGTTAATGGCTTAATCGAAATTCAGACAATAATTGAATTTTGTAGTATTTTGAATTAAAATTTTTATAAATTAGAATTGCTGAAAATTATTAACAAAGTTTCAAACAGTAATTGAATTTTGTAGAATTTTTAATTAAAAAATGTTTTATTTAATTGAATTTTTAAATAATTGGATAACATTTATTGAAATTATTAATTTAGTAAAGAATTTTAGATACAAATTTTAAAAAGTAAATGAATTTTGGATTAAGATTTTTAGAAATAATTAAATTTTTGGAAATTTTTAATTAAAATTGTTGTTTTAAAATACTAAATATTTTATATAAGCCTCCGATTCCAAGTTCTAGGATTTAAAAATTCAAATTACTTAAAATTCTACTGAATGAGAATTCTAATAAATTAAAAATAGGTTAAAATAGAATTATTTTCAAGAAACAGTTGGGTAAAGAGAAATTTTGTAAAATAAAAATTTTTGAAATAAAAAATTCGTTACTTTAAAAATTCCGTTAAAAAAAATTCTATACTAAATGTTATTTTGTAAAATAAAAATTTAAGTAAAAAATCATTTTTATGGAATAATCACACGCTACTACCGTTGTGCCAAAAACAAAAAGTTAATCGAAATTTAACAATAGATAGTTTTTTTTTAAATAATCAGGAGAAAAATGATGTTACTTTTATTCCTCAGAATTTTTCTTTCAATTTTTTTAGACAAGAAAATATTTACACTTTAACTTCAAACTTAGAATTAACTAAACTTCATTTTAAAGATGCGACTTTTTTGATATTTTATTTATTTTTTTTATTTGTAGCAAAGAATACAGCCGTAGGAATACCATTTTCGGCACTATGTGTATACATTAATTTATGAAAGGATAATAAAAATAAAAACATATAATTTGTAAAAAAAAAAAAAAATGAAAAATACAGTAATAACCAAATAGTATTAGTTAATGAAAAAAAATAAGGATAAAAAAGAAACAGTTTAAAGAACAAAAAATAAAGGTAAAATATTAAACAAAACTCAAAAAAGGTGATCCTATCTTTTCTGTAACATGTAGGCGACAATAAGTTTAGTAAAGGCACTAATATTTGTGTTGAAAAAATCAAAGTCGGATTGCGCATTACTACAAATCTCATTCAATTCATTACACATGACATACATTGGTGAAATAAAACCTATAGATTAAGTAGGCCTCGGTAAATTAAAAAGGTAACCACATTCTACTGGTTATGCGAGGTACTCTCAAATTAATTATATTAAGTAATTCAGAACAATCGATTTTATAATTTAATAAAGCATATATAAATTTACATTTGGCGATTGTTCGTCTTTCTTTCAATGTAACAACGTTGAATTTGGTACAAAGCTCTAGATAATCCGACCCTCTAGGCGGATAAAAATTATATTTCCGAAAATTGCAATATTTTAAAAATCGTTTTTGTAGACCTTCAAACATTAAAATATCCTTATCATAGATGGGGTCCCAAAGTAAGGCTAAATATTCGATTTTAGATCTAATGATCGTATTAAATAAAAGAATTAAAATGTCAGCTGACTTAATATGTTTGGTTGATCGAATAAGGTAACCCAAAGATCTGGACGCTTCTTTATAAATTATTTGTATATGGTTAGAGAAGGATAGATTGGATGAGAAAGTAATACCTAAATCACGAATAATATTTTTCCTAGGAATCAAATCATCGGAAGCCTTGTAATAAAAAAGAAAGACATTATTAGAAATGGCGAATATTACAACGGAACATTTAGACGGGTTAAGATCAAGTTTATTTATATTACACCATTGGAGCAAACTAATAATGTTTTTTTGTAAAGTACGACAATCTGCATCAGACTTAATAACTGGATAAATTTTTAAATCGTCAACAAAAAGTGAATTATTTACATTGATAATTTCGACGACGTCATTAATATAATAAATTGTAAAAAGGATTGACCCAAGTGTAGAACCCTGCGGTACTCCAGAAGTAGGGGTAAAAGGGGGGGAAGAGAAACCAGCATATTGAACAAAACAATTACGATTAGTTAGATAAGAAAAGAGCGTTTTAATAAAGTTACTAGGCAAATGTAAATCTAATAATTTAGAAAATAAAATTTCATGATCAACTTTATCGAAAGCTTTAGAGAAATCTGTGTAAATTTTAATTTAATTTAATTTTTTATTTAAATTTTGGGGATACTCTTTCATACTTAGTCTCTTACTACGCTTCGAAGCCAGAGATGGTTATATCCTTAATGTTATTAAAAAAAATCAATTAAAAGAAAACAAAGGGAAATTAAATGATAAATAACGGATAAATCGGACATAGGGAATTAAAGGAGACAAAAAACAACTTTTTCAGGTTGGACAGAATGCATTTATTTATCTTTAGAGTAAGTAGAGTAAAGTAGATCAATGCAATGTTATGAGTAGTATGAGTAGTAATTATCATACGAGTTGCTAGGAACGAGTATGCATACCCACAACACCGAAGGGCCATTTCAGCCCTTTTTTTTTTGCACGACACTTATATACGAAAAATGTTACACGATAATAATAACGATTGTTATCATCACCATTGCCATCGATTAAATCACTGTTTTTTTTTTTTTTTTTTATATATATTTTTTATTAGTATCATAGGCATTATCATATACTGCATGACTTGTCTTTGGCATCACAATTACCAGGACCAGATAGTCTCACATCAATATACATTTCTACTTTCGTTTGTATCGTCATAACTCCCACTGTGTGTGTGTGTTTTTTTTTTTCTCGATTAAATACTTTTTTTCATATTGGAGGAACAATATGTAAAATAACTTCAATTTTCAGCTCCATTTCGATAGAATTTTATACAGATTTCTTTATTTTTGAAAAAATTAAATTTTGGAAAAAATGTCTTTATATAATATTTGAAGATAAAAAAATTTGTTTAATTTTATTTAACATGAAAAGAAGAATATTGTTGAAATGAACATAAAATTGAAATTAATTTTACTTCCTTTTTCATAATGAATAGAAATTTTTTAAAAATGCGGCATTTAGATCATCATTTGAGTATAGAGAAAATTGAAAAAGGATATATCTTTAAAATGATATATATATGTATAGAATAGAGCAAGTGGTCAGTTAATCCAAACAATTCCACCTTTGTATTCGTGTGTGTGTGTGTGTGCCGCCGCATTTACTAGAATAACATTTTTGAAAGTACTCGAGCGCTTTTATTTATAGGCGTTGTTTGGTGAAAGTTTGGAGTGCGCTTTGGTGTTTTCGACAGAGTTACACAAGTACAACCGAATCGAGGAGTAGTTATTGGTTTACCTCTCGGAGGGGAAGAGAATGCATTTGGCCATTGAAACATTTTTTCTTTTTTTTTTTTTTTTTTTTTTTCCAATTGTTTCCGGAATCCGCTCATCTTTTCCCGATCACATTCAGAATTCTCGTTGTTAGACGAATCCAATATTAAAGTGAAAAAATAGACGCTAATTATTCATGCTTGGGAAAATTTATATACCAAACGATCGCCAAAAAAGCCTTATTTATATAATGTGTATTGCATATTAGAAAAATTTTTAATCATACACAATTCCTTTTTAAAGTCGATGTTACATTTTTCAAAAAAAATCTTTGCCGCCAATTTTTTTTTTTTTTTTTTTTTTGCCCTTCAGGAATAAGTAATGATTTTGTCAAATTTAAGATAAAAAAATATTTTCTTTTTAAAGAAAAATTGTGGATTTGGAAAACAAAAAATTGGAGGAAATAAATATTTGCAGATATATATTGTAATCATTACTTATTCTTGAGTTTAAAAAAAAATTTGCATTCTTTGTTATAAATAGCCAGCTATAATGAGCCAGAAACAGGTCGATTTTCGATGAAGCTGCGGACTCGCTTATCACAATCTGGCAAAATGGACCTTACAAAAAATACAGTACGCGTCCGCAACCTCAAATAAGAATTCGCTTCCGTTCTTTTTTTTTCACATTTCTTATTTATGTTTTATTCAAACATTTCTACACTCATTTCTACTGCAACGTACGAAAATGAAAATATTATTATTATAAAAGAAATTCAAGGGTTGATTCACAATATTGCAATTAATAAATTACATTTTCATCTAACCAATTTCGTAATAATAATAATAATAATAATGTTGAACAATCCCTTGAATTATTTAATACATCGAACAAGTATATTTCCAATCCAGCTGAATATTGGGTAAAAAATACACTTTTTTTTTATAATTTACTATTTTTTCTACATGAGAAAAATGAAATAAAAATTAATAAAATAATGTAAAATTTGTATCATTTTTACCAAATATAAAGCTGTGAAATTCTTGGCACTGGAATCACTCGTTAATTTTAATTTGAAAGGACGTCGATTAATTAGTGAATTCAAAAAAAAATATTGAAAATTACCGTCGACATTACTTTCTTTTGGTGGTTATTTATTTATTTTTTTTTTAAATAAGCATGCTCAAATATTTTAACGTTAGGAGCTTTTTTTTGCGTAGATCGCATTCGTATTGTTCGTCTAAAATTCGATGTGTGCTCGTCCTCAACAATAACAATTGAATATGAATTAGAAAAATAACATTATATCGTAGACAACAATTGGTTATAATTGTATTTAATAATATACCGGTAATAATAGGATTTTTATTATAGTAATGTACTTTTATTTTTTTATCTTAATTTTTTTAAATCCATTGACGCAAGCTGTGGTCTCATTTCTTTTTTTTTTGTACATATACGGTTATATTCTTATTCGATTTTAAGGCAAAGTTTTTTCATTTATTCTTCAAATCACATCTTCTTAATTAATCAATGTTTTACAAATTTACATATATAGTAAAAGATCTTATTTTAGTTATAAAGATCTTTTGACTAAATTTCTTTTTCTTACCCTTAAAATTCACATACTGAATTTTAATAAGTGATAATTTTTGAAATATTAGTAATAAAATTAACAGAAGTTGTGTTTTGAAGATCAAAAAGCAAAACTGGTCTTTTCCTATAAAATAATACAAAAATCGTCGGAATGGATTTAAATTTTTTTTTTTTTTTTTATAATCAACACAGAATTCGCGTCAATGGATTAATTTTGTGGACAGATCTGACATTGGCGTATGATATAAAATCGATACGCAAGAAAAAATTACAACCTCCCAAAATGTGTTTCCTTGATCGCGTTCGGTTTTTTTTTTTTTTTTCTCTTACCACATAACACACGTACTAGCTAAATTTAAAATCTATATTTACGACTTGTACGATAAACATTGACATTTATGTATATAATATATATTTATATATATTTATATATTTATAATATATATTTATATTTAATATTATTCATATATTACAATTAGATTGCTCATTGTCAATTCATCAATTATCACATTTAATACAAGTTGAAAAATATCTCTAACATCCAGGTCACGTTTGTATTACGATATATACAAAGGGAAATTGCTTTTTTTTTCTTTCTTTCTTTCTTTTTTTTTTTGTAAATTCACCCAATGTATATTCGTACGTTACAATCTGACTCGTAACATATGCTATATATACGTGTAAATATATCTAATATAGGTACGATAAACAATGATAGTACGGCCACAAATTTTTTTCTATTTTTCTTTTCTTCACATTATAGCAGAGTGATTGCAAAAATTTTGTCGTCGTTGTTTCTCTTCCTTTAAATCAATATTAATTTAGTATTTTTTTTAAATTAAAAATTAATTTTTAATATTAATATTGTAAACATTATCATTTTTTATTTTTTACAATGGAACATTTTTTGGAAATGATAAGTTATAACTGTAGTTTTAGTCTTTCGCAGAGTTTATTTCATAATTATTTAATAATTTTGATCATTAAAATCGATCGATAAATTTCTTTGTAATTAATTTTTTTTAAAAAAAAGAGTTAAAAATATCTAATTTTTAGTAACAAAAAATTTCTTTTTATAAAATCGTTTTAAGGGGTGATTGTGCAAATAAAGTACTATAAGAAAAATAACATTTTAACAAAAAATAAATTTTTTCAGTTTTAGATGGCACGTTTCGGAAATTTTTACTCAAAAAAAAACTTTTAAAATAGAATAGGATATAAAATTAGACAGGGTTGCTCTACGCTTTCTCGAAACCTGGAAAACCTGGAAAAGTCAGGGAAAAAGTATAAAACATTTGAAAAAAAATTAAGTCATAAAATTCATTAAGGTCATGTGATTCTTGTGGTTTTAGATGAAAATATTCTCCGCAGATTTTTTCGCAAAAAAACTTAATATAGATTAAGCTAAAATTTTGTTGAGAAATCAAAAAATTAATTTTTAAAAAATATTTATTATAATAATAAACTTTACTGAATTTTGTACATTTAATAACTTTTTTTAAAAAATAAATCATAGTTTTATGGAGTATAGAAAAATATCATATTATTTTCTGGAAAACTTGGAAAAATCATGGAATTTTGTTCGAGAGAAATTGTAGCAGCAATCCTGTCAGAGGTAGTTTTGAAAAAAAATTTTAATTTTCGAAAGCATTAAAAAATTAAAAAAATTTGTTGCTCCCATACGGGACTTGAGACGAGATTATAAGAATTTCAAAAAAATTTTTTGAGGAATAAAATAACAGGGTGTCTAGCGGTCAGGGAAAAGTCAGGGAATTTTGTTGGTCAGGGAAATGTTAGGGAAAAGCCAGGGAATTTCAGAAAATTTCATTCAAAGACAGAGACATTTCTGTAAATTTCTACAAAAATTAAAATTTTTTGTGAATTTAAAAATTTTTTAATCTAAAAAAAACATTAATGTTTATTATTACCATTTGTTACTACCATTAGAAATTAATTTATTGTTAAATATGTCAGTAACCATATTTTTGTCTAAAGAAAGCAGAATTAAGGTTATTAAAAAGTCAGGGAAAAATCAAAAAATGTCAGGGAAAAATCAGGGAATTTTTTTTGTCAATCCTTGTTAGATACCCTGAATAAATAAATAATAAAAAAAAATCACTTGGAATAGCGAAAAGTTTCATTGGAATAGCAAAAGTTTTTATTGCTTCAGTTAAATCATTTATTATTCTAGTGAAACCTTTGGTTGTTTCAAGTAAATTTTTTTTCATTTTTAAAAATTCGAAATTTTAAAAACTTCATATCTCGTAAATGACTTGATTAAAAAAATTCAAATTTTCTTCGTAAAAGTACAAAAAAAGATAAAACAATTTTAGTGAAATCAAAAATGTCAAAGTCGACAATATTTTGAAATACCGTAAACACCCGCATCCATATCTAAAAATTCTACAAATAGATATGAAAAAATAAAATTAAAAAAAATTTGTTTTTTTGGTGGCACTGTGAATGACTAAAACTAATTAATTTATAATTTCTGCTAATTATTAAAAAAAAAATTATATTCTCATAATTTTAACAATAATAATAAGTAAAATTATATTATTAAGTTATTTTAATAATTTTAACATCTTAAAAAAAAATTCTCCCTTTTTTGACTTTCGAAAATATTAGGAAAAGAAACAAACGACGATGATTTTTTACTGTTGAAGATTATTTGCGGAAGACACGAGTGCCATTATTATATCATAGAGTATTTGCACTTTGGTTTTTTCTTTTTTCTTTTAACTATTTTGGTCATATGAAACGTAAATTTAGTGGTCGTTTCTATTTTTCTATTTTTTTTTTTTTGTTTTGTTGGGCTTATCAAACCTATATAGCAAGGTCTAGACTATCATAAACTTTTATACAAAATACACGTTGGATAAAAAGTGACAAATATTCGATTGTTTCTTATGATAATTTCTATTTCTATTTCTGAGGTAATCATAAAAATGTTTTTTAAATATTGTATTTCGGTTTTTTTTTTTTTTTTTTCATTTTAAGGAGAGAAAATATCTTGAAATCAAGATTTAAATGTTAGTTTTTATTTATAAAATTTATGGCAAGTGATCCCAGTATAGAAAAATTAATATTTATCTGAGATAGCTAATGGTTATTTATGTGTTTTAATAATATTTTAAAAAAATATTAGCTTTTCTTTAATTGGTTTTTTTTTCTAAATGATAAAAATAGTTTCCTTCAATTATAGTCGGTAATTAATATATTTCATTAATCGACTTCAGTCATTTGTTTTATTTAATTCTCTGGCTTGATGCAAAAAAAAAAAAACTATTTTCTATAAAAATAATGGAATTTTTTTTAATGATATAAAAAAAGGAAAAAAAAAATTTGCAAAAATTCTTAGGTATGATAGTCTCAACCGAGCATTGTTGGAAGAAAGGAAAGTTTGTTTTTTTTTTTTTTAGTGTTTTTGTCGCTTGTCCTTTGAGGGTAGGGGTGGGGAGGTGGAGAAAGCTATATGTATTTTCAGAAGAAAAACTTTCATTCGTTAAATTTTACGAAGCGTGGCTGGTGCAACATTTTCAATGGTGGTACACACATTTTGCAACCGCGCTGCGTAAGAGAATCGACTCCGCTATACACAGACACGGGGAATATTAAACTTTTTTTATTTTATTTTATTTTTTTTTTTATCTTTCTTTAGAATAGTAGACATCGAAGACACCGAGACTGGAGGAGAATGAAAATAGAGAGAAAAGTTCGTTCAGCTACGTTTAAAGTCATATTTTATATTAAAGATTCGCTATATATTTTCTACTATAATTGCCTAAGATCTGTCATTCTAATATATTAGCCGTTCCGTACGGAAGGACGGACCGACGGACGCTGAGGATTGAGCAAATTGTTATTGCACGGAGCGCCTAAATCGCCATATTTTTTTTTTGTTTTTTTTTGTCATTTTGGACATTGAGTTTTCTTTTCTGAAGAACAATTTTTTTTTGTTTAAATTAATTTATTATTATTATTATTAATAATAATCAACCACTCTTTACAATCAACTCGAAATATTCCATAATATCCAACGATCTACCGAACACGTTTTTCATTTTGACAATAAGTCATGGACGTTTTTTTATTTTTAATTTTAAAAATGAAATTCATTTTTGAAATTTTTCAATTATTTTGAATTATTTGTTTTCAATTTTTTGGATAATTTTTGAAATGTTGAAAACAATTTTATTTAACGTGATTTGAAAGATCATTGGCTATTAAAAATTTCTAAACGCGAAATGTGAGAATATCACGAGTAAAACCACTTATTAGTGTAATAGCTAGATCCTCGGAACATCGATAAACTGGTTAAAAACATTGTATATGTACCTATCTACCTATACACAATATATAGATATAATGTTTGTATATCGTAACCATACTAATTATATTAATTACATTTATATATTTATATTTATATTTATATATATACGATTACAGTAAATATTTATCAATTAATTATTTCTTACGCGTATATCACATCTGATCGTTCAGTCAGTATAGGAAGACCCTCGCTTCGCCCTATGCCCCGTTTTTTTACGCGCCAACCGCTTTTTTTTCAAAAAGGGAGAAAAAAGAAATATTTTTTCCCCTCTATTTCTTCTATATATAGTTTACCTATACACATATCTAGGATTCCACTTGTTTTTTTTTTTTTTTTTTTTTTTTTCTTAAACAACTTTCACTCATCACTTGCGCTTTTACATACTAACATCACGTCGGCTATTATCTAGAGAGACACTCAATTTTTTTTTCTTGTCGTAAAAACTTGAAATCACCATCGAATATTAATTCAATACACTTATTATGTACTTATAGTATAAATATAGGAACATTCATTAAATATATCTTTATATGTAATAAAGTTATCCCCGTCATCGTCATTGTTCACAAAATTTTTTCTATTACTGAAAACGTTAATTTTTTTTTTTGTTTTTTTGGAAAAAGAGAAATATTAACTAACAAAATTAATTTAATATCATTAATTTAATTGACAAATAGTTTAGGTGAATTTTTTTTCTTTCGGTATTGTACACTCAGAGAAATGTTTTATTTGAACCAAATATAATATATTTGAGTTAAATAAACGTTTATTTGTTTCACAGCATACTATAGCTTATTTATTTGGCGTAAATAAATTTTGTTATTTGAATTGTAATAAAAATTTATTTAAATCAAATAAATATTTATTAGGCTGTGAGACAAATATATCATTTCTCTGCGGGTGTAAAAATATAATATTAATGGAATATTTTATTTGTATAAATACATAATATCTGTCGTTTGAGTAATTTGATTCCACTTTGAGGTAAAATTAAAATTCACTCTAAAGTCAAATTCAATTTTTACAGTCTCATCATAATGAGAAGGTATTATTTTTATTTGTCTAAATTTAATCTAAACTCACTTCTAGTGATAATAACTTTGTTAGAAATTTTTTTATTTATATCATAAAGTAAAGGTTAGATATTTAAAAATGATCCAAATCATTAATTTTGATGTTAAAAATTGGTAAAAAATAATTTGTTTAAAAGAATTGTTCTAAACAAATTAACAAAAATTGATATATTTTTCAAAACTAACGACGTATGATTACACGTTCCTTTAGCAATTTTTTCCGTAGAATTGAATGGCGTTGTTAGTTTTTGAAAATACATCAATTTTGTTAATTTGTTTATAACAATTTGTTTAAACAAATTATTTTTTTTAACAATTTTTAACGTCAAAAGTCATTTTTTTGGACCGCAGTCATGGGTTAATATTTAGTAAAGAAGTCTCAAATATGATGAGGAACGTCTGCTATGTGCGAAAATTGTAATATTTGTTGAATTAAGTATTATAAAATGCTTGGAAATTGTTTAAAAAAATTTTGAGGTTAGAAGTGACGTCTCTTCGGATTTTCTAACGATTTAAAACGTATTTTATAATAATTAATTCAATAAATACTTTGAAATCATTAAAAAAAATCCGAAGGAACGTCATTTCTAATTTCAAAATTTTTTTAAACAATTTCCAAATATTTTATAATATTTAATTCAACAAATATTACAATTTTCGCACATAACAGACATGCTTCATTATATTTTAGACATCTTCACAAAATATTAACTCAATCCATTCAGTATTTTATGAAAAATTATTGAAAGAAATTAAAATTTAATTTAATTAAATTTTAAATTAAATTTTAATTTAATAGATTAATTCAAATTAGTTATGATATCTTCACTAATTTAAATTTAGAGGTTAAAAGGTAAAAATTTTATTAAATTAAAGAAAATCTAATGAAAAAAATAAGTTGTAAACTGAATTTAGATACAAATTTAAAACTGTGAATTTGACGTCAAAGTGAAATCAAATTACATTATAATGTTATTTAATTATAAAAAAAATATTAAAGAGTTAATGCTTTCAGTAATAGATAATTTTTTTTCTTAATATAATATTTATATATATTAGAATTTTTCTCGTTTGTATATATTATCTTTATTTATATATACAACTTATTTGGTGTTGTATAATCAGCTAATTATTTAAAATGCCCATAAATTCCATGGCGCCTGGATCGTTCATTTTGTTGTGAATATTAATTGTATATTTTATAATCAATTCATAATTCGTAATTATAGTTTAATTCGTCCAAGTTCATTATTACAATAAGATAATTTAAGATAAATTCAAAAAATACCTAATTCCTTTTCAAATATTTCTAATTTTTCCTTGAGTTTGTAAATTTGTAAATAATTCCTAATAGTTGAAATCGTTTGGCTTTTTTTTTTAATCAGGTACTGAAATTATTGAGGAATAAGTCATTGAGTGATTGTAAAAAAAAATATCAAATCGTTGCGGTTTTGGTCTCTTTTTTCTCGTACAATATAGAATTTAAATTTTTTCATTGTAATTATTTTTGTTTTTTTTTATTGTAAAAAGTTGAATACTCGTTGTATGTTAAATCGTTGACAAGTTTCGCCATAAAAGGCACATATACTTTGAAATTTATACAAATATATATATATACTAAAACAATGACTTTATTTCTCCACCGTGATAATATATATATAGGGTAAAATTGCAAAACTGCGTTTTCCCTATAGGAAAGCAAAGTGAATTGAGCAATCTTCAAATTAATTCCTAAACCGTGATTCAATACTCGCTAATTTTATTTTGAAAGACGATTGGGTATCACGCAATCCACACAAGACAGGCAAAAGATATAATCATCTAATGTGAATTTCCGTTTTTCTTTTGTCTATAAAGAATATATAAAATTGTTTTTTACTAATTGTAAGCAAATTTTATATCTATTTTTTTGAAATAATTTTATGTTAATTTTTATTGATAATTTTAATGAATAATTGATTTTATAAATAATGAAATTAATTAAAAATTAAGAAAAAAAAAATTATAGAAAAAAGAGGAGGAATTATTTTTTATTATAATTTTTAAAGAATCTACACGAAGAAAAATGGAAAAACGAATAAAGTAACTTTTACTATACTTTAAAAGTAAAAATGAAACTGTCCGCAGTTTCTGTGCATTTCTGGCAATTTTTACTTTAGAAATTGTAAAATTTACTATTTCCGGAATAATTTTTACTATTCTATAAGTAAATTTTACTATTTCTTGAGTAAAAATTGCCAAAAAATGCCCAAAAATTGCGAACAGTTCCGGTTTTACTTTTAAAGTATAGTAAAAGTTACTTTATACGTTTTTCTATTTTTCTCCGTGTTTATATTTTAATAGAGATTTTAATTAATTTAATTTTTTTTTTAACTTTTTAAAAATTCTTTGCATTTGCCTATAGACAAATGTTAAATTAATAAGCAGTAAAGTGTTTAAAGTATAATACTTGAAATTGAATAATGAATTAACGATTTGACAATTGATTAAAAGAGAAAGGAACCGTTTGTGCGTTTGTTGCAATTAACGCAATTGGATTGTCACTTGTTAATAGAGTAATGTCGAGAGTGGATTTACCCGTTTATATAGAGTACACTGACAAAGAAAAAAAATTTTTTTTTTTCACAATGACTTTGGTTCTGATTTTGATATTCACACATATATACAATCACTCGCAGACTCATCTCCGTCAACAGATTTTTTTTTTTTTTTTTTTTTTTGTAACCAGTGGTTGGAATAAATTGCCTTTACTCATTTTTTTTTCATTTTTTGATCAGCATCAGTCGAGATTTTATTCGATTAAAAAACATCTGTTCAAATCTCATTGCTTCAGGGAAAATAAATTGTTTTCTATAGTATATACATATATCTAGTCGAATTATTCTTGTTTTATATATCAATTATTATTTATTGCTAAAAATAGAAAAGCACCCGTATTCTGCGATCATGTACAAAAATGTCTTTTTGTGCGTTTAGTTTTTTGTACTTTATCATTTTTTTTTTAATCTTGCGTGAAAAAAACTGCGTTACAAAAAGGCAGAAGTGTTTTTTTCTCACAATTTTATCTGAAAATTATTTTTTTTAATTTCTGGTTTTTTTTTACGAAAGAATTATTACTTTTATATAATATTGTTAAGATTGAAGAGATCTTATTCTTATCCTGAAGCAAAGGGATTTCCTCAGATGTATATATATATATATATATATATATATATATTTCAAAAAGGTCTTTAATCATAGTTTTTTTTTTGTTTTTTTCCTTAGAAGATAAAGATTATATATATTATCCTTTCGTGCTGCACACTGAAAATAATATCGATCGGGAGGAAGTAGGTTATTCTTCATTCTGTAATTATTATTACCGCATGAGAAATATCCTGTCACAAGTTTATAGTGGCGATTTTATTTGGGTGCAGCAGGAAAAGGTATAGCTTGTGTGTGTGTGTGCTGAGTTTTCTTGACAAAAGAGGGAAAATGGAGAAAAGGATGCGGTGTGCAGCTATGTATAGTGACGTTAAGTTGAATTAATGATCGAAAATGTCAGACTCCAGGCGCCAGGGAATCGTCTCTTATTTTGCCTCAAGAAACGACTAAACGACGGACGTTTTGAGTTTCTCGTTCGTCGCATTGTCGCGATTGTTTCGTTGCTGCTTTTATTTTTATTTTTTTTTTACTTCTTTTATTACTAGGGACGAATAATGAACAAAAATCGACGAAAAGAAAATGGAGAAATTGAACTTTTTTAAGACCTTCCATTTGTAGAATTCTGAAATCTTCAATTTTCTTAGTAAAATTTCAATCAACAAAATTGTTCGCTTAAATTCTGATTCATAAAATTTTGTTTCGAATTTATATTTCAAATGATCAGAAAAAATTGTAAATGATTTTTTAGTATCTGCTTTAAGATTATTGAATTTCTCCTTTCTCGATTCGTCAGTTTTTTTGTTATAATTTAGCGGATGTAGCTATATATCCTGCGAAGCGAGGATAAAAAAGTTTTCTCTTACAATCTTAAGACCATAGGACGTTTAATTAGTTTAAAGTGTGATCATTCGCAAAGCCAGGTCAGTCTTTATGTATAGTGGAGGAAAATAATTTCATTCCACTTGTTCGCAAATTGAAACCGTTACTATTTTTTTTTTTTTTTTTTCGTTTTTTTTCTTTGGCACTGCTTTTCATTTTGCAACCCCAAGAACTGACCGGCATCTCGCGAGTGACCCTAATCATTAGGTAGCACCTTCGTGATTCAATTTTTTTGCCGCTTTTTTTTTTTGAAAACGCGTTGGACTTTATTTTTAAAAGGCACCAACTATTTTTTTTTTCTAAGAATTTTCTTTTTGGTAAATGGTAAAAGTTTACTCTATCGATAATCTGATATCGTTACGGAAAGAATATTAATTTACATTTAAGGACATAATGCATTCCGGAGTATAAACCGGAAAAAAAATCTGTAAAAGAATTGAAAGACATTTTATAACCGAAAAAATAGGAAAAAAAAATAGTTGGTACTTTTTAAAATTGTTTGAGCGTTTAGCGGCAATTTTATTATATTACAACGGACAACAATAAAGGAATAAAGGATTTTATAGACCGTGCAGTTAAAGACGTATTTTTTGCGACTTTTGACGACGAATCTATATATTAGATAAAGCGAATTACAATAATCTACTTTGAAGACGAATATTGAAGAAAAATGAATTTATTGATAGAAGGGGGATTGATTTGGAATTAAAAGGCACCGGCACATTTTCCGGAAGTACAGTAATTGAAACTATATATTTCGATTCTCATTCAGATTTAGATGACACAAAAGTTTGACTAGTGTCAATAGTGTAAAGCATTGCTTTGTTTTTTTTTTACAACATACATATAAGTAAAACGGAGAATTTTGGAAGACCTAATTTTATATGTACTTCCGTTTTAGTGCACATGTCGCGGTTATTTTTTTGTCCACGACCTCGTCCTTATGTCTAAAATCGCTACCGATCCAATTTTTTTTTCTTTTTTACTTCCAATTATTAGATCGGATCTTTCGTTGGGAGAAACTACGAGTTACACTCGATTATAATATACAAGTACTTATTATAGGATAGGTAGAATAACATATACATATCACTCTTCGAGATATTCGTTACACGAAGAAGAAGAAGAAGAAGATGATGAAGAAGAAGAAGACCGATATAACAACAACGACAAAAAATAAAAAAGAGAGAAACTAATATTGTATTTGATCATTATACAATATAAGGAGAGGAAATAGAGTTTATAACCATCATCGTCTTGTTTAGCCGCGTCGTCGTGTTCTTTGGTTTAATTAAATCCTTATCACAAATTATTCTCACTAGCATATATTATATGTATGTACATAGAAATCTTTTTCTGATGCCTACGTTTAGAGGCTCCTGGCCTTTGCCGCTAGGAACAAAAGTCGGAGGACACACGACATTTTGTGTGGGTTTGCTCTTTCTTCTTCTTTTTTTTTTTAATCACTTACTTAATTCGTAATTGACGCGTCTTGTTGGGCCGTTGGCTGGATGGATACGATTCCGTTTTCTTCTCTCTTAGGTATTACTTATTGTTTTCCGCGTCTATCTCAAACTTTCCAATTGATGCCAAAGCTTGGGCTGTGGATTATTTTTTTCTTCAATTGACAAAGAATTTTTAATATTTATCATGGGAGGAAAAAAGATGACGAATTTTTAAAGTTTGAAATTAAATTTTGCTTCTGAAGAATTTAGAGATTAGAAACTTCCAAAAGATACAATGGAAATTTTATTTAAAATAATTTTATGGTGAGCATTACTAAATAATGTTTGCAGAAACTAAAACATTTATGTCACATTTATTATGCAATGACACGACATGGATAATGCACTATCTGTTGAATCCAATTGTGAATAACCTAATGGTTCTATTAGTCTTTTTATTGTTCACAATTATGGGTTTGGAGCATAGAAAGCATTAGAAGTATTTAACGATAAATACTAGTGCACATTCTGGAAAAAGTAATTATTTTCACTTAAATTATCATTTTTATGATTTCGTTGGCATTTTATGCCTTTTGTTACTTTCTCTTTTTAGAATGCTTTTTATCTTTTAGCGGATTCAAATTTTATCCTTCATGTCGAATATATCTGTAATGTCTTTGTGACAGTTTGAAAATTATTTAACTTTTAGGAACTTGTATTTTTGTAAATCTGTTTAGAAATTATTTTTAGAGACTTTTGGAAGTAATTTTCTAAGAAATTAAAAAATTTCCTTTTTCCTCCCTGTGGATAAATTTTAAAATTAATTTCCCTCTGCTGTTATTGATCTTTGCGCTTTTTTTTCAAGGAACAGTACATCCGAGCTGAGAGGCTTTGAGGAAAGCATTTTCTTTTTTTTTAATGCTAATAATGTGGCCCAAGCGAAAAGATCCGGTGCTTTGGCATGAAGTGGAAGGAAGGAGCTAGTCGGATTTTTGTTTATATCAGCGTTGATGGAGATGGGTTGTAAGATGCTTGGAAAGATAATCCGCACGGGCGAATCTTTTTCCGCAGACTTCGCATGCATAAGGTTTTTCACCAGTGTGAATTCGTAGATGTCGAGTGAGGTCACTTTTACCACCAAATGCCCTGAGGCAAAAAAGACATTGGAAGGGTTTTTCGCCAGTGTGCTTTCTAATGTGTAATTTTAAATTTTCCTTAGATCTCACACATTTACCACAATAGAGACAAGCAAATCGTTTATCCTTTCGATCTGGTTCGCGTGTCCTTGATAAATTCATCATATTTTTTGGTCGAATATCATCGTGAATATTACCATTTTCTGTTTTTATTGTTTCATTAATACCAATCATTGTATCAGCTGTTTCTGCATTACCTTGTAAACTTGTTGTTTCGGAAATATTTTCCTCCTTACATGTATTCTCGGAATTCTCACCTGAACAATCCTCGACATCAACGGGACTTAGATCACCTCCAATTTCCATTTGGAATGGTTCACCAGTACTTGAGACTTGATCACTTCTATCGGCGGCCAATGCTCCTTGGGATTCGGGCGTTCGTTGAAGGCGCTCTAGGTGATGATTTAACCTGTGTTTCTTAAAGGACTTAAGATACCTGAATTGCATGCCGCAAACTTCACATGTGAAAAGCTTATCGGCAGGAAGTCGAGCGCGATGATTTTGCTCACGATGCTTGACGTAAGCTGATCGATAGCGGTAACGTTGACCACACTGCTCGCATGTAAATGGCTTGTCATCTCCAGGTGGACATGGATGTTTAAGAATTGCATGCCTCTGTAGAAGAAGGGCATCGGGAAATGCTGCGAGACATACTCCACATCTTTGAGCAAAACCTGCGATTCCAGCAATTCCTGATGCTGTACGTTCTATCAAAGCGTTCCAACTGCTTGCATCCAAGCCCAAAGCAAGTGAAACCTGTGAAATAGAAATTTTATTATTTTTATTTATTGTTAGAAAATTTTGAGAATTTTTTTTTTCGTGTTATTTACCATTTTTGGGTCCTTTTTAATGATTATTATTTATAGAGCAGGTTCGACTTGTTTTTTTCATTGTGAAATATCAAATTTTCAACTAGTATTAAAATTAATAACTTAAGTTTAAAAGTTCGGAAATGTCATAGATCAGTCCCTTTCCTATATACACTCTGTTAAAAATCAAAACCAAAAACACTAGAATGAAAGTTTTAATCAAAAATGCAATTGCTTGCATTTCATTGAATTAAGGTATTTTTCTTACTGACTCTACTTTAATTTTTCTTTTTGCAGATTCAATTGGCTTGTGTCTCACGTACTTCAAAGATAAGGGCAAAAGTAAAAAAGGGTATCTTGAAGGACACAGTTACAGACTTTTTAGAATTCTGTCTATTTTTACGGTTATTCTTCACATTTTCTGAATGGAAATTTAACTTGAAAGTAGGGATCTCCGAGGGCTATTTAGTTTGAAAGAATCTCCTTGAAGCTGAAAATTCCTTATTAAGGCAAATATTTTATTTTATTAACAAAATTTTATTACAAAAAATGTAGTTTTTTAAGAAAAAAATTTCTAATTTAAAAACATTGTTTATTTATTTTTTTAAATGATACAATTTTTGTTTACTATGGCTTATTTTCTGCATAAGATTATAAACTACAACTTCACCGAAGAAAATTACCTAAAAATGCACTGTTTCAAAATTTTTTACGAAAATTGCACTTTTTTGTTAAACAAATAATCATATTTTTGAAACGGTGCATTTTTTGGAAATTCTCTTCTGTAAAGTTGTAGTTGATATGTTTATGCTGAAAATACGGCACAGTAAATTAAAATTGTATCATTTTTAAAAAATTTAGTAATTGCTAAATAAGAAATAAGTTTGATTATCTAAAAATATGTGTGAATAAACAATTTTTTTTAAATTGGAAATTTTTTTCTTAAAAAATTAAATTTTCTTTCAAAAAATAATAATTAAAATAAAATTCTAATTCTTAAAAGGGAAATATCATTTTTTTAAAGTGAATTTTAATTTTTTAAATTTCATTTGTTTTTAATTTTAGAATTTTAATTTTAAATAATTTTGTTAGATATAATTATTTTTTAGACGAATTTTCTAATTTTTAAAATTAAATTAAAATTAAAATTTTTTAAATTTCTAGTTGCAGAGAAAAATTTACTAATAATTAAGAACGTTCATATTCAGAAATGCAGATCTTCAGAAATAATTATTTAATTGACGTTTAAAAAATTAAAATTCTATTATTATTAATGTAATATACGTTGGAAAGACAGATATCAATTTTCAAGAAAAAAATTTGTATCTTACAAAAATTAATTATTTAAATACATTTTGCATATAATCAAAATTTTCTTCATACCGCTTACTAAAAATTTTGTAAAAATGATCAGATTCAAATAAATGATGGCTTATTTTTTCAGAAAATAATTTTTAATTGCATTTCCAGGTATGAAAGTTCTTAAAACTTTTGAATTTATCATTCGGTGGTATTTAATAATTGAATACCGTTAATAATTAATTACCATTGAAATGTAAAAGACAGATTTTTCATTTTTTACTTTGACTTGAAAAAATTTAATTATTTCCTGAGAAATTTACAAAACTAAAAAAAGAACATTTAATATTCAATTTTTCTTAAATATATAACGCATTTTCTGAGAAGAAAAATGTCACCAAAAATTCTTTTCGATCCCATTGTTTTTTAAAATTAACCCCTATTTTAATATTTAACCCCCTTGTCCCCCTCTAATTTTTTTTTTTAGTATTTATTTTTTAATGGTAATTAAATAAGTTGTAATTTGTGTCTTGACCTGTTTATAGATGTAAATTTTGTAATTTTTAAAAACAAAATTTGTCTGATTTTCTTCTTTTCTTTATCGTCTTTTATTTGTTATTTTCAGATTTGAACGAAATTGCTACGGGAGTGTTGAAATTATTTAATTAATGAACGAAAAAAATTTTATAGTGTGAAACTTTTTGTTTTGTTATTTTTAGTAAATGTTTTTTTTCCGGGAGTGTTCGAAATTCTTAAAATCGCGATCGTTTAAATTTTTATAAAAAGTAATTTTGTTTTTTAATTTTTAAACACGTGATTTCGGGAGTGTACGAAATTTTTTAAATCGCGTGTGTTTGTGTTTCCGTCAGATCTTATCGTCCAAATCATATGATACATCAATTGCAGCCTAAGGTTAGTGTTATATTTTTTACAAATTTACATACAATTGTTTTTCTACTTTTTTTGGCAAAAAGAAAAGATCTTATTATAAAAAGATCATACCAAAGCGTTATGCGTTACATGCGTAGTTTTTATAGGTTATGTTACCTAATCGTTTCCTGTGCATAAAAATTTTTACTTTTGATTTAAATGCCATTTCTAATTGTTTAAAAATTTCAACATAAATTATTTAAAATTTCACCGAAGTTTTTTTAAAATTTAAATCATCTTTTTCTTTAAAAAATACAAACATACAGTTGGTCTAAATTTTGTTCCGATTTTTGTCTAATTCTTCCTTAAGTGTAGTAGTTTTATTTATTTTTTTTTTTACTTTTATTTAGCGAATGAGGAGGGATATATAGGAATAATATAATAAAAACAGTAATCAAAATGAAATTAACACAAACAGTTTGCAGTTTTATTTCACAAATTGTTAATTTACAACTATGATATGCATTCGTTCTTCTAAGAACAGAAATAAATGGTCTTAATTCAAATTAATAATTAATAGTACCCATATATAGCAAGGAAAGCGCGTATCGTGCGGGTGAATTAATGAACGAGTAAACACACACATTAAAATAATTTTTTAAATTGTTACAACAAAAATTTTCCATATTTAATTTTTTTTATAATAGCATTTTCTGGATTTTCTAGAAAATTTAGTTGTATTTTTTTTTTTTTTTTTTTTTTTTTTTTGGTAATGAATTTGTAAACTCAATAAAAATTGCTAAGAGATGATTTTTTGAAAAAACGAATTATATATTTCTAAGAAAAAAATATATTTTACAATAAATATTTGTGTCTAATTTTACCATTGTGTTCTTGTTGACACGCAAAGATACGCGTATTCCTAAAAAATTAATTTACAAGTTAAGTGATTACAAGTACTTTGGGACGAGCTTTAGAGTGTTTTTTGTTTTTTTTTTTTTTTTTGTTTAGACAATATGTAAATTTCGAGTTTTACGTAAGTGCATTCAGAGGGGTAAATGCGGATTGATACATTTTTGAAAATTAAATTTTTTTTTTAAATTCAAAGTATTTAAAATTCCGCGGAAACGAATGCAACTATATGTATATATAATATATATATATGTCTAAATTTTCATGTATTTTTAGTTTCTTAAGCATTTCCATTTTTTCTTTTTGTTTCTTTTTTCGAGTAGTGAAAATACATTGTCCGAGATATACAAAAGTTTATGTTCACACGAAGTTATTCCCAAAGGTGTCAGAAGTATCGAACAAAAATGTCAAGTTTCTCAAAGAGAAAAATGTGTTCTTCAGAATCGATCTTTTCTTCGATATATTTTTCTTCATGTCCAGAGGGGAACTAAACTTTGCAAGTTTGTGATTTAAAAAAAAAAATATATATTTAAATAGAAACTGTTAGGAAAAAAAATTGATTTATCTCTATATGTAAACGTTTATAATAATCAGATAAAAGAAGAAAATGTACTTTTTTTTTAGTATTATTAAAAAATACACATGCGTTTCCGCTGGATCTTATATATCTTTCGCGCAAGAAAAATACAATTGTATAAATTATTTGCGTTATGATATACAGTAATTCTTTCATTCATCATCTCTAATACAATAATTGTTCGTTGGATCTGAATTTGAATATATATCAATGCAAGACGTAGTGCCAAAATTTTTGTAACATTGCATGATATTTTGCAGAATTATTTAAGAACTGGTATTGTCTTCGGTTTAGGATATAAAATTTCTCTATATTTCGCATATTCAAAATTATAATGGAAAATGGCTCTCGTCTTGCAATGATAAAATGCATGTCTGAAAAAATTGAATTGTTTCCAAATTTTATGCACTGAAAAAGACGATATTCTATTATATATGGGTTCCAAATTAACTAAAATTGAAATATTTTATTTTCACAATGAATTGAAAATTGAAAAAAAATCAATTTTTAATTAAAAATAAAACTCATAAAAGTGGATTAAGAGGGTCGCATAAATATTCCCCACTTCAGACCTGTCGGAATTTTTGCGGAGTCGAATTAAAAATTAACAAATTTTTATTCAGCAGATTTTATTAAGATTTTATAATAAGCTTAATTTTTATATTGAATAATTTTTATTTAACTAAATTCTGATTTAATAGAATTTCTATTTAACTGAACTTTCATAAAGCAGATTTTCGAATATATCGAATTTTCAAATAATATATTTCACTGAAACGCCATTTGACCGAACTTTCACTTGTCCGAATTGGCCGAAACATTTCAGCGGGAGTTTTAAAATCCACCAATCAAAAATTATCAATAAAATTGCGACCGGAACTATCCGCAACTTTTGCGCATTTCTGACAATTTTTACTCCAGAAACAGTAAAATTTACTCCTGAAATAGTAAAAATTATTCCGAAAATAGTAAATTTTACTATTTATGGAGTAAAAATTGACAGAAACTATACGGACAGTTCCAGTTTTACTTTTAAAGTAGTAAAAGTTACTTTATTCGTTTTTTCATTTTTCTACGTATGTTTAATGACAATTCTATTAAATAAACATGAAATGGAAAAGAAATTTTCTTTAATAAAAGTTTTGCTAAATAATAATTTTATAATATACCCATAGAAATTCTGTTAAATGGGAACTCAGCTACTGAAAATAATATTTGGAAAATAAATTCGGATAAATAGAAATTTAAGTTGCGTCAACAAAATTTTGGTTGTCCCAATCAAATTTTGGTTAAGACAACAAAATTCCTTAATTTTTTTTTATTTTGTTGTGTCAACTAAAGTCTGATTGGGATAACCAAAATTTTGTTGACTTAATAAAAAATTTGGTTGCACGTATATTAAACAAAAAGTTTTGTTAACTCAAACTTTTTTCTGTGTGTTATTCGAAAATTATCGTTATATAAGAAAATCTGGTTCATAAAAGTTCAGTTAAAGGGAAATTCTGTTAAATCAGAATTTAGTTAAATAAAAATTCTTCGATATGAAAATTAGGCTCATTATAAAATCCTCTTTAAAAAATACACTTTATAAAATTCTGCTAAATAAAATTCGATAATTTTTAATTAGACACCATAAAAATTCCGACAGGTCTAATGTGTGAAGTATTAATGCATTCCTGTTTGAATACCTGTAAAGTTTTCTCATTTTTTTTTTGCTGTTGACAAAGAGTGAAATATTGATAAAATATTAATAGATATAATTCTTAAAATATTAGAATATCGTTTTTTTGTGCATTAATGTATTATGGGAAAATTATAATAACAAATATATAGCAAGAGTACTTT